CTGTCCACCCACCGGCCTGCCCATCCATCACCTGTCCATCCATCTGTCACCTGTGCACCTACCGGCCTGCCCATCCATCCATCACCTGTCCATCCATCTGTCACCTGTGCACCTACCGGCCTGCCCGCCCGTCCACCCACCTGCCTGCCCGCCTGTCCACCTGTCATCTTTCCACCCACTGGCCTGTCTGTCTGTCCACCTGTCACCTGTCCACCCACCTGCCTGACCGCCTGTCCACCTGTCATCTTTCCACCCACCGGCCTGTCCGTCCACCTGTCACCTGTCCACCCACTTGCCTGCCCACCCGTCCATCTGTCACCTGTCGACCCTCCAGCCTGCCCATCCATCCACCTGTCACCTGCCCGTCCGTCCACCTGCCATCTGTCCACCCACCTGCCTGCCCGCCCATCCACCTGTCACCTGTCCACCCACCCACCAGCCCCCCCATCCATCCATTCATCCACCCACCCATCATCCATCCAACCAGCCAGCCGTCTATCCCTCCACCCATCACTTTATCCATCCATCCACTCAACACATGTATCCATTTATCCATCCACCAACCCCCGTCTGTTCATCCATCCACCCCCCCACCATCTGCCCACCCACCATCTGCCCACCCAACCAGTAATCCACCCACCCATCCATTCATCCATTCATTCACCCATCATCCATTCAGCCAGCCATCCTCCCTCTATCCATTGATCTCTTTATCCATCTGCTCACTCATGTACCATTTATCCATCCACCCAGCCCTATCTACGTGTCTGTCCACCCACCCCCATCAATCCATCCACCCACCCCACCACCCATCGATCCGTTCCACCCCCCAATCCATCCACCCACCCCACCCACCCACCCACCCATGTGTCTGGTTATCCATCCATCCGCCATCCAGAGCCAACTTGGCAAGCACGTATTGGTCACTTTGTCTGTCAGTCACTGGGCGAGGCCGTGAAGGCGGGGAGAACAGCGACGTGGCTGTTAGCTTGAGGAGGTTCAGTCTGCTTAACAAAGCTGACACATTCAGCCAGGTAGGGTAGGGGCGTCCACAGTGCCCTGGGAGGTCACAGGGAGAGTGGAAGGCGTCGTTCAGTGTGGTGTCCAGAAGGGTGCCATGTTGGTGCGCGTGTCCCGCTCTGGGCTGCAGGCTCCCGGGTTCTCGGTCAGCACGGGCATCAGATTCTCGACTCCTAGTCCAGCACATCTGAGCCTGTAGCCCTTGCTTGGCCTCCCTGCGGCGATGTCGGCGAGGAGAGGCAGCCACGCAGGGCCTAGGCTGGGGGAGGCTCTGCTGCCTGGTGCGCAGTGCTGAGAACTGTGGTCACTCCGTCTCTCCTGGCCTGGCCAGCGCTGGCCAGAGGTCAACTCTCAGCTTTCTCAACAGTGTGTCGGTGGCTGCCTTGAAAGAACCCATCTTCCAAGTGTCCAGAGCAAGCCCGATTCCTGTCTTGCTCCAGAAGGGAGGTGCCTTGTTCCATCCATGGGATGTGAGCTTGCCCAGTCTGCTCTGATGGTCTGTGACCCTAGGGAGGCCAAGCAGCCCTTAGGAGCAAGCTCTGAGCTCCACTTCCATTCCCTGGGCCGTCGGCCACACATGAAACTCCCCGTGCCTGAAGGGGAAGGGAGGTGGACGGCTCGGGGACCACGGGAGGCCGTCTGTGGTCAGTGCTGAGCTAGGCAGTAAAGAACAGTGGCCAGATCTGCCGTCGCCCCCACCCACTCCCTCGCCTCCGGGGTCCCCTGTGCCTTAGCACCGTCTCGTGGGGGGTGGCTTGTGTGGTTTGGTTCCTGGATTAGTTTCCCGTGGCTGCCTGAACCAGTCACCCTAAGTTTGGTGGCTTGAAACAACAGAAATTTATGGTTTCACAGTTCCGGAAGCCTGAAGTCCAAAGTCGGGGTGTGGGCAGGGCAGCACCCACTCTGCTCTCCTGGGGGCCAGCGCGGTCGGGGGGGACTTCCTTGTTGGGCCAGCTCCCGGCAGCTCCAGGCACGCCCACAGCTGTGGCTGCAACGCCTTGATCTCTGCTCCGTCTTCACTTGGTCGTCTCTGCTGGAACCCTGCAGCTCCCCTTCTGTCTCTTTTTATTATTATTATTATTTTTGTTTGTTTTTTTGACAGGCAGAGTGGACAGTGAGAGAGAGAGACAGAGAGAAAGGTCTTCCTTTGCCGTTGGTTCACCCTCCAATGGCGGCCGGCGCACCGCGCTGATCCAATGGCAGGAGCCAGGTACTTATCCTGGTCTCCCATGGGGTGCAGGGCCCAAGCACCTGGGCCATCCTCCACTGCACTCCCGGGTCACAGCAGAGAGCTGGCCTGGAAGAGGGGCAACCGGGACAGAATCCGGCGTCCCGACCGGGACTAGAACCCGGTGTGCTGGCGCCGCAAGGCGGAGGATTAGCCTAGTGAGCCGCGGCGCCGGCCCCCTTCTGTCTCTGTCACTGGACTTGGGGCCCACGGAGACGACCCAGGATGAAGCTGTAGCAGCCCGCGTTCTGGTAACGTCTGCCAGGACCCCTGCTCTGAACCAGTGCACGGTCACAGGTTCGGGGGCTGGGCCTGGGACATTCTGGTAGGGGGGAACCACTCAGCTCCCTGCAGCCTCCCAGGGCTGGTGCTGACCCCAGATGTCCCACGCGTGACCGTGCTGTGCCCACGGGGTCTCCCTGAGGCCAGACTCAGGAGGAAAGTGGCGCGTGCCCTGTTCCCTGACCCAGTCCTGAGCCATCTCGCTGCCTCTCCTTTTCTCCTCTTCTCAAAGTTTGTTATTTTTCACCTGTAAAAACAATCCATGCTCCACAGTGTGGCTTGGAAGGAGGCAAACGGCCGTGAATGGACAAGTGCCTGTGCTTTTCAACAGTTGCAGCAAACACCCAAAACCAAAGAAGCAGAAGTGACAGGGCCCGCACTGTGGCCTAGAAAGCCTAGACTATTTATCTGGCCCTCTGCAAAGCAGCCCCCCAGGCGAAAAAGGAACCCCCCCAAAACCAGTGAAAGCCATCTTGCCTCTCAGCAGAGGCTTGTGACTGGGCCTGTCTGTCGAGCGCCTACTGTGTGCCAGGCCCAGGGACGCCGTGAGGGCTCCCACGGCCTCCACTGCCGCCCCCAGATTCCGGCGTCCGTGCCGGCCTTTGGCTGCAGGCACATCTTCGTTGCTGCACAGTAAGGTTTCTGCAGCGCACAGAATTCTGTCGAGCTTGATCTCACGGCCCAGCGCGTTCCTGATGCTGTGAAATACCCTGCAAAACTGGCGTTGCACAGTAACCGCTGCCCCGGCCGCTTTCCCAGGTTTCCCTGCCGTGTGCCAGGTGCCGTCCCAAGCACAGCACGTGGGTGGAATCACCATGGCACCACCTCCGCCAGGGAGGGGCTGGTACAGGTGTGCGGAAGCTCACCTGCCTGAGGACATGCAGGTGGCACTGAGACCCACCCCCAGGCAGCACACCCTAACCACTGCACCATGCTGCCACCCTCGGCAGTGGCTGTGACAGCCCCTTCCGCGAGCACCCGGAAAACCTGTCCAGTGGGCAGCTGCCCTTCCAACACTCATTCTCCAGAGAGAGCCTGGGACCATGCATTTGTGTGCCTAAAAGCCCATTTTAATTTGGAAAGTTCAACAGTTAGGTGGAGACCGGTGGACATTGTTCGACTGTTCTTTTAGAAACGCACAGTTGCTGACAACGTTTCAGATCTCAAACGCTGCATTAAACCATGCAGAGTGCAGCTTCTCTCAAAGTGTGGGAAGACTGGGGCCGGCGTTACGGCGCAGTGGGCTAAGCCGCTGCCTGCAGTGCCAGCTCCTTTATCAGAGCGCCAGTTCAAGGCCCGGCTGTCCGCTTCTGATCCAGCTCTGCTAATGCTCCTGGGAAGGCAGCAAGAGGTGGCCCAGGCACCTGGACCCCTGCCACCCACGTGGGAGGCCCTGGAGTTCCAGGCTCCCGGCTCCGCCTGGCTCAGCCGTGGTCACTGTGGCCCTTTGGGGAGGGAACCAGCCGATGGAAGATCTGTCTGTGTCACTCTGCCTTCTGCCCTGGAGCTGGGGGTCCTGGCCCAGGCTCGCGCAGGCTGGTGGTGGCCATTCACCTCCTCGTGGGGCAGGGACTGCAGGCTGCTCCATGAAGTCAGCAGCTCAGTGACTCCGCCTGGTGCAGTCAGACACTCGGATGAACCGGACGTCCACTGCGCGGGGCCCTCACCTTGGCCGTTCGCAGCAGCCACTGCCCTGTTGTACCCAGTTGGCGCCGTCACTCAGAGAGAGGGAATTTATGCAACTTGTAGCCAGGGGCCGTCCTCAGGTCCTGCCCGTGCGTGTGGAGCTGGGGTCAGCCCCCTCCCGGGACGTGTGTCAGCGCTCATGGCGGCGTCTCCGCCCTGTCCCCGGACCACGTCAGGGGTAGGCACCCAAGTAGCCATTTCGTAACCTCCTTTTGTGTCTCTCTTTGTACCGCGGTAGACTCTCCGCTAGGGCTGATGGCTGGCACTTTTCTCCCCAGCTCCATCGAGGGTGAGCACTGGTTGCAGTCCTGCTGCGCGCCCCGTGCACAGCCCATTGGTGGTCCAGGTTTTCCATGCTTTGCAGGCGATGTCCAGGCAGTTTGCTTTGTCATTTCCATCTCTGAATTTTCTGCTTTGCAGCGGTTCTGGAAATCTTTCGTGGGAGGACAGGTGGGAGCCGCGTCTTCCAGGGCTCAGAGTCATGGTCAGCTTGTACCTCAGTGCGTGTGCGGGGGTGCGTGCATGTGTGGTGTACATTATGTGTTGCCATGTGCGTACACACCAGTACCTATGTGTGTATGCTTGTGTGTTCACACACGAGTGTGCACCCATTGCACATGCCTGTGCATATGCACACTTGTACGTGCACACCATGGAGTGTGTGTGTTTGCACGCATGTGTGCATTACTCGCACACGTGCACCGTTGTGTACAGGTTGGGTGCGGGTGGGCGTGCACGTGCGTGCTCCGCGTGCCGGTCTCACTGCCGCCTCTTCTCCCCGCAGGCCGCTGCGGAGTGCGCCGGCCTCCTGCGGAGCCTGCACGGGCTGGAGCAGGAGCACTTGCAGGCGTCTCTGGCCCTGCAGCGGGAGGAGGACTTCGCCGAGGCGCACCGGCAGCTGGCTGTCCTGCGGAGGAACGAACTGCACAGCGTCTTCTTCAGCCAGATACGAAGCGCCGTCTGCGAAGGGGACCTGAAGCCCGAGGCAGCCAAGGAGCTGCTGCAGGATTATTCTAAAGTACAGGTGATGCCTGCCGCCTGCTCCCTCGAGCTCCAAGCAGTGAGAGGACTCTCGTGATGGGTGCGGGTGTTTCCAGCGTGCGGGGCTCACGCTGGCTTTGGAAAGTTGGTGCAAGGCGCAGGGAGTGTTTACTATACACGGAGGTCAAAAGATACGTGCGTGTGTGTGTGTGTGCGTCCCCACGCGTCTGCCGAGGGGTTAGGGGCTGGGGGTAGTTACGTGGCTGAGTTGTGTCGTCGTGCACTGAGTGTAGGTGTGAATGCTGCCATCCAAGCAGTCGTTTCTTCGATGACAGTGACAATTGTTGACCCGCGACTGTCGGCCCTGCTGTGGGCTTGTCCCGGGCTCTACACGTGCACGCACACAGGCACAGAGTGACGTCACTGGCATTGACCACGCCTCGTTGGCCACAGCACCCTCAGTGGTTCTGCTGGCTCTAGGTGGCGGCTGTGGTGACTACGAACAAACTCTTGTTTTCACTGATGGGATTTTCTGTTTGGACGAAGCGCAGAGTATCCGAGGGATGCAGATGGCGCTCCGGGAGAGGCAGCTCTTCAGGGCCAGTCTCTGCCCAGAGAACAGCAGGCACCTCGCGTGCTCCTGGGGCCTGGGGTGGCGTCTGGCACTCTGAAGCCGGCAGGCCCCCGTGCGAGTGGCTGCCCCGGGCTGCCGTCTTTGATGCTGAATGAGGAGCTGTGAACCTGTTGGGTGGAAGACCCCGCTCCCTGTCTCTCCCTCTCCCTCTCCCTGTCGCTCTGCCTTTCTCTTTAAAAAACAAAGAACTTCCCTACCTGTGTTAGAGGTGCCGGTGTCCCTGCAGAGCGAATCAAGGCTCCTGCCCAGCCTCTGTTGCTGCCAGAGCAGGGGTGGGAAACACAGTGGAGCAAGCAGAGGGGACGTGGGCAGGGGTTCCACGCCTGCGTGTGAGCGGAGCCCAGAGACGGAGGCTGGAGCTGCCAGTCCCTTAGGGCTGTGGCCGCGACACAGGCCAAGTGAGTGGGGACTGAGCCGGGCATCTGGGAAGAACTGGCCGTTGCCGTGAGCCTCATGGGAAGAAGGCAGCTTTCAGAGAGGGTCCAGGAAGTAGAGAGGACGCTCCAGCCTCCCCGTGTTGACCTAGGGCTGGAAGACCCCGCTCTCTGTCCCCTGCCCCCCGCCCCCGTCACTCTACTGTGCTGTCCTAGGTTTGCCCTAGCGCGACGTCACCAAGACGACGCTGTCCCCTTCTCGAGGGTAGGCAGGCAGACTCGGGGCCATTTGCAGACAGGAGCAGATTGTGCGGTCAGTTGCTGGTCCTTGAGTGGCAGGAGTAGCTCGCGCGGGGAGCACAGTGGCGGAACACACACTGACGTGGCGGCTCTCCGCGTGTCCCAGGGTGAATCGCCCCCGTGCTGGGCACAGGTCAGCCACCACGTGGAGCTCCAGCCCTGAGGAGGATGGGAATGTTGCCGCCGTGTTCCTGCCCCGGGGATCTGGTGCCGGGAACTCCCCTGGGAAGTGCCAGCGCTCAGCACACCCGGCTGACCCCGCCGACCCTCGCAGCGGGCTGGGAGCAGGGGACATCAGGGCTCTGATATAAGCAGGTCCTCATGGCCAGCCGCTGCGTGGGCTTGTCCCACGGACAGGAAGCAGAGTGGAGCCACTCCCTGAGGTCATGCTTCTGCTGCCACCGGTCCTGGCACTGCGCTGCGGGCTAAGGCTGGGTTTCCCGAGGCAGCCGATCAGGACGAGAGAGCACCGGCCCTGGAGTTGGGTTGCCGACTGCAAAATCCCTGCCCGGCTGTTTCCCAGCTGTCTGGTGTGGACCCAGTTCCTGAGCTGTAAAGTGGGAATTCTTTGTCCCTCCCTCCCTCCCTCTCTCCGTCTCTCTGTCTCTGTCTCTCTCTGTCTGTCTCTCTCTCTCCCGCTCCTGCTCTGTCTCTGTCTGTCTGTCTCTCTCTCTCCTGCTCCCGCTCTGTCTCTGTCTCTGTCTCTCTCAGTTAGGTTACACAAGGCATGGCTTGCCAGGCCCGGAGAAGACACCCAGCCTCGGCGAGGCTGTTCTCATTCTCTCGGGTTGGGTTGAGTTCCGTTTTGAGATTCCTGCTGCTCCGGGGCTGCCCCTGCCTGCCGGGTCTCCTCTGTGAGTGTGGGCGCTCCCGGGGGTCGGGCTGTGGCTGATGTGCTGCCCTGGTGCTTAGTGCTTGTGGGCGCTCGGCAGGTGCGAGGCGCGGGAGCGCGGATGCGCCGGGAGCGGCTGGAGCCCAGCTGCTGTTCCTTGGGGGGGGCGGGCGGCTCCCCTGCCCTGTGCCAGCTTGTCCTGGATTTCAGTTTGCAGAGCCCTCTCCTTGTTCGAGTGTAATTATCTTCGTCCTTATTTTGTTAGCTGTTTATTTACTTGAAGGGCAGAGTTATAGAGAGGGCAGGAGAAGGGGAAAGAGGGAGAATGTCTATTTGCTGGCTCACTTCCCAGAGGGCCACCATGGCCAGGGCTAGGCCAAGCCCAAGCTGGGAGCTTCCTCCAAGTCTCCCACGTGGGCGCAGGGGCGCAAGCACTTGGGGCGTCTTCCGCTGCTTTCCCAGGTGCATTAGCAGGGCCCTGGATTGGAAGTGGAGCAGCGTGGACTCGAAGCAGCACTCCTATGGGATGCCGGCATCACAGCCTGCGACTTAATCTGCTGTGCCACAATACTGGGCCCCAATGTAACTTCTTCTAAGCCTTTGTGGTGGGCAGGGGAGTTAAATGCATGGATGCCAGTATTCCCGCGTGGTCTCTCCTAAAAATTGTGTTCTAAATGTCTGGATTTTTCTGTGCATTTTAATTAGGCATATTGTCTTTTTTTTTTTTTTAAACAGGAGAATGTAGAAGAGTTAATGGACTTTTTCCAGGCCAGCAAGAGGTATCATCTAAGCAAAAGATTCGGCCACAGGGAGTACCTGGTCCAGAACCTACAGTCCACCGAGACCCGCGTGCAAGGCCTGCTGAGTGCGGCCGCAGCCCAGCTGACCCACCTCATCCAGAAACATGAGAGGTAAAAACCCACACCTGTGACGGTGCCGGCCCACCGCTGCCTGCCACTCACCACCCTGCGTCTGCCCAGAGCGCTGGCTGCACCGACTATAGCTTAGGAGGGGTCCCCAACGTAGAAAAATCCTGTGCGTTGAGCACATCGAATCAGGCGTGGCCGACTGAATGACGGCCCCTGGGTGTCCCTCCTTGCCATCCGTAGACCTGGATTCGTGACCTGTCTGGCTGGAGCCACACGTCCCCACCCGGGATTATCTGGAAGCAAATCCCCCAGCCGGGGTGGAGGCCGGCCTCGGCTGTTTGAGGCAAGCGCCCCCTTCGCGTCGGCCTCTTGCGTGTCACAGGCGCCTGGGGCATTGAGCGCATGTTCAGGCCGCCCTGTCTTGGAGAGCCGATGTTCTCCCAGCAGCACCTGGTACCCTGCAGCCAGGTAGCCGGAGGGAGGGCGGAGCCCGCCTCGGCGCAGTCCCCGGCGGCCGCGGACAATGAAGTGCACTCTAAAGGAAACAGGGGCTTTGCTGCCCCGTGGTTTGGGGAATTGGTTCCGTAGGAAATTTTCTTAAGGCTCTGCGGCTCTCCCAGCTCCGGGCCAGGAGCACTGGATGAGACGCAGGTGATGCCAGCCCCGCCCCCGCCCACCTCAAGATGCTGACCAATGCATCTCTGCCCTCCGTTTGCACCCCTGAGTAACCTCACCCAGGTGCAGGAAGCAGCCCAGCCCGGGCAGCTGTTCCATTGTGGTGAGCCGACTCCAAGGAAGGGCGCTCACCTCTTCCTGTGAAATTCTGTATGAAAAAGACTGGCACAGGCTGAGCGCCCTGAACCCCGCGGTTGGCACGGACCTGTTCATTCCCTCAAGCAGCCCCTGCGGAGCCTGCACCCCGTGCTGAGGCCGTCCCGGCACGCACGCTGGGGGTGCTGGGGACGCTGGCAGCGGAGGGGCCGTGTCAGGGTTCCAACGAAGCAGCACACGGCACACAGAGAGGGGGTTCGGTTTAGGAACCTGCTCGGGCGGGGCTGGAGGTGGAAAGTCCCAGCCGGAGAGCCGGGAAAGCAGCTGGTGGGGCTAAAGACCCACCCTGCGGGGCCGAGAGGGCTGGAGCCTGGGACTGCCTGGCTGAAGGGGCGGCCTCTGGCGTGTGTCGCGTGGACACCTGGCATGTGTCGCGTGGACACCTGGCAGGTGGCACCAGTGGCGAGAGCAGCGAGGGAGGGAGGAAAGGCGCCGAGTCCCGCCTTCGGCCAGCAGCCTGCGCGTGCGGGGACGACCTGGGCCCACGCAGGCAGGCAGGCAGGCAGAGCCCTGTGAGCGCCGCCGCCCTGGGGCCCTCGGCTGCACCGCCGTCTCAGTGACCGTTCGGGAGGGGCCGTGGGAACTCCAGGCTGGTGTCCTCCGGGGGCGTCGCTGTGTCTGCTGTGGGCCAGTTCAGCTGACACCCATGATGCACCACCACAGGGAGCCCCCGCGTCTGCGCCGCTCCAGACATCAGGGCTCCTAACGCAGCCCCCCTTCTGGAAAGTTCTCTGATGCCTGGCGTGCTGCTTTGTCCCGGGACTCTTGCCAACTCCTGCCCACACCGATTCCCGTCCCGGCAGGGCTGTCTCTGCCGTCACCAGTGACACTGCCCCGGTGTCTCGGGGCTGATGTCTGCTCAGATTCAGCCCCGACCGCGAGGGGGCCAAGCGCTCCCCCGCAGCAGCCGCCCGCTCAGGCAGGGGTGTGCAGACCGACGTCCCGTCTCCCCCAGAGCCGGGTACTTGGAGGAGGATCAGACGGAGCTGCTGCTGGAGCGGGCGCACACGGAGGTCTTCGCCGTGCAGCAGAGGTTGGACCACGACTTGAAGCAGGAGAAGAAGAGGCTGCGGCAGAAACTGCTCACCAAGAGGAGGCGGGAGCTGCTGCAGAAGGTACGCGTGGCGCTGCCGTCTCAGGATGCCCGCCAAGGGACCGCTCCCACGCCCGGCCTGCCATCGGCAAGCCGGGGTGGGCAGGGCGTGCAGGCCAGCAGGACGTGTCATCTGCTGTTGATTTGTTATGCCTTTTCAGAATGGCACGGCAGAGGGTCGTGGTAGATTAATAATGTCTGCAGGAGCAAGGGAGTAGGGATGAGGGTTGGAGTGGGTGGTCATGATGATGAGAGGTGCTACTTGTGCTGAGAAACAGAATTCTGTCGTAGGCACAGTGCCAAGGGCACTGCCACACACTGCTGGACACTTGCAGAGTGAAAGAACAAAAGGAGGCCGGCGCCGCGGCTCACTAGAATCCTCCACCTTGCGGTGCCGGCACACCGGGTTCTAGTCCCGGTCGGGGCTCCGGATTCTGTCCCGGTTGTCCCTCTTCCAGGCCAGCTCTCTGCTGTGGCCAGGGAGTGCAGTGGAGGATGGCCCAAGTGCTTGGGCCCTGCACCCCATGGGAGGCCAGGATAAGTACCTGGCTCCTGCCATCGGATCAGCGCGGTGCTCCGGCCGCAGTGCACCGGCCGCGGCGGCCATTGGAGGGTGAACCCGTCCCCTGCCTCACTAGGTAGAACCGAGGCTGCCGTGACCCCTGTGACAAACGGCTCTATGGTTGGGTTTTCTCTACCCCAGGGCCTTTGCACCTGCTGGGAGTGTTCCCTCCCCACGGCTTCACCCGAGTCACATAAGCCCTCATCTCTCAGGTCCCTCTGGCCTCCTCTTCTCCCATGGCACTGTTTTCCCCACGGTCTCACGCGTTAAAGAGCACAGGTGTGGGGTGCTGTGGCTTTGCTAGGAGCTGCACACGTCTTAAGCACCTCCCACCATCCTGATGAGGACTCTGTGAGGTAGGTCCCGTTATCCCCATTTTATAGATGCAAAAGAGAGGCACAGAGAGGGTAAGACACTGGCTGTGGCTCACAGAGCTGGCGCATGGAGGAGCCAGGACTGGAAGCCAGGGGTCTGCCTCCTGGGCTTTATCTGCTCCGTACACCCAAGAGGTCCTCACAATGTCCTAGCAATGTCCTAGCAGTGTCTGTGCCTCCCGCCGAGCCCCGCCCCCACGCACCTCCCTCCCTCCTCTTCCCGCCAGCACAAGGAGCAGCGGAAGCAGCAGCTGTGCGTGGCCGAGGCCGCCCGCGCCGCGGAGGACGCCGCCCGCTACCTGCAGCAGTGGCGGGGCCTGGTGGCCGAGCAGAGCGCCGCCCTGGAGGAGCTGCAGGAGCGGCTGGACCAGGCCGCCCTGGACGAGCTGCGGGCGCTGACGCTGGCCCTGTCCGAGAAGGCCGCCGAGGAGCTGCGGCGCCTGCAGAGCGCGGCCGCGGCCCAGGAGCCACTCAAGTGCAGCGTGCCCTGGCTGTTCCTGCAGCAGATCCTGGAGGAGCAGGGCCGGGAGCTGGCGGCGCGGGCCGAGCAGCTGGAGGCGGAGGACAGGGCCCGCGGCCAGGACGGCGTCCGCAGCGTGAGGCAGCGGCTGAGGGACGACTCTCTGGAGGCCGCCACGGAGGAGCAGGCCGAGCTGAGGCGCTGGGAGCACTTGGTCTTCACGTGAGTGTCCCCGCGAGGCCACCCCCCACCCAGGGGAGAGGGAGGGGGCCCCAGCCCGTGACTCGGCGCTGGCTGAGCACGCACCCCCCTCCATGCCGGGCCAGGACGCCCTCGGCGTTGTTGGGCACAGCCTCGCGGGGCCAGCCAGGGCTGCGGGTGGTGCCCCTGGCTCGCACGGGAGCTCGCGGCTGGCTCGTTTGAATAACTCCGTGGCTGGCGGAGAACTGAAGCAGGCGGCTCAGGGCCAGGCACAGGGCGCACCTGCTGCCCGTGATAAGAAGCGCCATTGGCACGTGGGGAGGGGCATCCCTCAAGGCAGCGCGTGGCCCCAGGCCCTCGGGCGACCTCCACCACCTCCCGCCAGGACCTGGCCTTCTGGGGTTAGTGAGTGGGCTACTTATGCTTGTGGTTTTAGTTTACAATTTATTTATTTACTTGAAAGACAGAGTTAGAAGTCTACCATACGCTGGTTCACTCCCCAAATGGCCACAATGGCTGGAGCTGGGCCGATCCGAAGCCAGGAGCCAGGAGCTTCTTCTAGGTCTCCCATCCAGTTGCAGGGGCCCAAGGACTTGGGCCATCTTCTAATGCTTTCCTAGGCCATAGCAGAGAGCTGGATTGGAAGTGGAGCAGCCGGGACTTGAACCAGTGCCCACATGGGATGTTGGCACTGCTGGCAGCGGCTGAACCTGCTATGCCACAGTGCAGCCCCACAAATGGCATCTCCTACAGACGTGGGGAAGCGGAGGAGCAGCTGGAGTCGGATCCCGGGGCCCAGCGTCCCACAGCCCTCCCCTGCCCTGCGGGCTTTGTGCCGACCGAGGCCGGCTCGGCCGGGAAGGGAGCCTCCGGGTGGAACGGAGGGCAGCAGAGATCCTGGTGTCTGCCTGGGGTTGGCACAGCAGGGCGCAGCCAGCGTGCGAGGAGATGTGGCCAGAATGGCCTGGGGTTCTGTCCGAGCACCACCGTCTGCTTGGAGACAAGTTGTGGACCCTCGCTGGGCGCCATCTTGCTTGCACGTGCAGTGGGGATGCTGATACGGGATCATCCCGGGAGCTGTAGGCGTCGGTGGGACATGGTGCTGCCAGGCAGATGTCGTTCGTGTGAGAGGCGGGCTCCTCCTGGAACCTTTGGCGGTGCTGGACAGAGGACAGCCTTTCTTTTCTTTTCTTTTTTTAAAGATTTATTTATTTATTTGAAAGTCAGAGTTAGAGGAGAGGGAGAGAGAGAGAGAGAGAGAGAGAGAGAGAGAGAGAGAGAGGTCTTCCATCTGTTGGTTCACTCCCCAAATGGCCACAAAGGCTGGAGCTGCACCGATCCAAAGCCAGGAGCCAGGAGCTTCTTCCAGGTCTCCCACACAGGTGCAGGGGCCCAAGGACTTGGGCCATCTTCCACTGCTTTCCCAGGCCATAGTAGAGAGCTGGATCGGAAGTGGAGCAGCCGGGACTCAATCCCGCACCCATATGGGATGCCGGCGCTGCAGGCGGCAGCTTTACCCGCTACGCCACAGCGCTGGCCCCTGGACAGCTTCTCAGTGCCTGGCCTCATTTGCAGAAACGGCGCCCAGGGACCCGGCTGGGCGCCAAGATTCCGGGCTCGTTGTGGTCACGCTCTCCCCCCAGGGAGCAACCTTGCTTCCCAAGGCCAGGCTTTCTTAACCTGGAAAACAGAGCCTTGTGCTCGCCAAGCCCCTACACATCAGGCCTTTAAATGGCCTTCTATGCTCAGTGGTTCTCGGCAGCATTCATTCAGCTCAGTCTACATCGCACGCATTCCAGGCCGGCTCTGGGCTGTGCGTGGCTGAGGAATCAGGTTGGGCGTTCCTGGGAGCGGACGGCCACATCCTTCACCCTCGTTGGGATCCGTTTTGCAGCAGTGTTGCCGAAGCCGCCGCGGATGTAGCCGTTCGACAGGAGAAGAGAGGTCTCTCCTGACCGCGGGAAAACGGCTTAGGATTTTTCTCGGGGCTCAGCAGGGTCAATTCTCCCCACACGCGAGGTTCGTCTGCTTCTGTGCGCTGCTTAAAAATTTAAGATTCTAAAGGGTGTGGCTTCTGCTCGAGGCATTGTGTGAGAATGTCTGTGCACAGGAGCTTGGAAACACATTTTACAGGCTTCCCAATTTCCAGCAAAACAAGGCTGCTATACACCTGGCTGGCTAAAGTAACAATTAATAAAGGGGCATTTTGGGGCCGGCACTGTGGCCTAATGAGTTGGACCACCGCCTGCAGTGCCGGCATCCCATGTGTGTGCCGGTTCTAGTCCCAGCTGCTCCAGTTCCTAGCCAGCTCTCTGCTGTGGCCTGGGAAAGCAGTAGAAGGTGGCCCAAGTCTTCTACGTGGGAGACTTGGAAGAAGCTCCTGGCTCCTGGCTTCAGATCAGCGCAGCTCCGGCCATTGCAGCCATCTGGGGAGTGAACCAGCGGATGGAAGACCTCTCTCTGCCTCTGTTCTCTGTAACTCTGCCTTTCAAACAAATAAATCAGTCTTCAAAAAAGAAAAAGATAGCAGCCATACTCACACGCATCGGGGGTGACACAGTGCAGCCCATGATAGGAACTCCTGGTTTGCAGGTGGTGACGAAATGGCAGCTGTCAGTCATCCTATGAGACGCCCTTTCCCACATGCAGAGGTGGGCGTCTCCCCTGTGTCCCAGGCTGCTGCTCACTGGGCAGTGCCTGGGCTCCGTGTCCGTCTCTGAAGCGAGGCCAGGCTCTGGTCCAGGGTGTATGTGCTGGAATACCTCTGGCCTCCTAGAAGTGGCCGTCGTGGGCCCGTCTCTCTCGGCTCCGACTTCTCGGCTCTAACACATCGGGGCTGTGCAGGGAGCATGCAACCAAGGAGCTGCGCTCTGCCCTGCACGTGGGGGCTTAGCCAGCCGTGACCTTCAGAGCGGTGCCTTCCCCGGGCGACCCCCGCCGGTGTCCTGACGCAGACGCCGCCGTCTCCTCCCCAGGCAGCTCTGCTCCTTGGCCTTCTCCCTGTCTGAAGAGGAGCTGCTCCAGATGCGACAGGACGTCCACGGCTGCTTCGCACAGATGGACCGCAGCCTGGCCCTCCCCAAGATCCGGGCCCGGGGCCTGCTACAGAGGCTGCAGGCCGCCTGGCGAGAAGCGGAGTTCCTGAAGCTGGACCAGACCCTGGCTGCCCCCGAGCTGCAGGTAGGCAGGACACAGAGCAAGGGAGGGAGAGAGAGAGAGAGAAGGATCTTTGCTAGTTCACTCCCTAAATAGCCACAGTGGTCCAGGCTGAAAACAAGAGCCCAGAGCCCGGAGCCCAGATCCTGGAGCTGGGAGCCTGGAGCCCGCGGGGCCCTGCGGCTGCTCACCTCCCGGCCTCCCCGCCTCCGCCTCTCCCTAGCACCCGCACAAGGCCAGGAAGCCGCGCTCCAAGAGCAGGAGCCCCGCAGACCTTTACAAGAAGCGCCTCGAAGACAGAATTCACCTGCTGGAGGCACAAGTGCCCGGAGACCTGGCGGAGAAGGTCAGTGCAGACGCGCCTCCTTGGTCCTCTGGGTGGATCCGGCCTGGCGGAGCCTGGAGCCCGGCCTGGTGGAGCCCGGAGCCTCGAGCCCGGAGCCACTCCCACCCCGGCACCACGGGCATTTTTAGCAAGCTTGTATACTCTTTCATTTTATTCTTTTAAATAATCATGTAGTTCTGTAAGCCCCTGCCATCCAGCCTCCCAGGCCCTCACTTCCAGCCCCTCATTTTCAGTTCCTCTGAGTTAATTTAAAATTTTCAGGTTGATCATCTGTTGCTTGGCTCCACATCTCTGAGTAGCATGCTTCTAGCTGTTTGTAGTTATTTCTTGATGACTGTACTTTGGGGTTATCTTGTTGCTTTTTTATGCAGAGGATGATGATTTACTCTCTATTCTCACCCTACACAGGATGTGAGCCCCGCCCACTTCCCCCAGCATAGCCACATCAGACTCTGATTAATTAAATGTCACTCACAGCTGATTCATGCAGTAAGCTGGAATCCTGCTTCATTCTTGGACAACCATTTGCTTTTCCTGGCGTTAATAGTTGCCTTTAGTTTCTTTTGATTACTTGTTATGTCTTTAACACCAACTCAGCTGGGCTCACAGGCAGTGGCTTAACTCGCTGCCCCACAGCACTGGCCCACCTTTAGACGCTAGCCCACCCCTAGGTGTGTCTTAATTGTGCTTGCTGAGACTTGGGAAGTGTAGCACAGGTTCGTTCTCTGTTCATTCTGGGTAGCTTAGACGTCAGCTCTCCGGGAGCTGCTGAGTCTTCAGCACTCAGTCTTGTGTTTTCTGGCTTTGGAAACATTTCCTCTGCTGCTTGATCTCTCATCTTCCCTCTCTCTGCTGTCTGCCTGAGGAGAACAGTTAGAACATCTGGCACAGCCAGGACATGGACCAGCGCGATGTGGGATGCTGTCGTCGTAGGCGGCAGCTTTGCCCGCTGCGCCCCAGCGCTGGCCCCCAGATCCACTCTCTTTCCCAGACATCTCCACTGTGATGTTTTTTCTACATCATGCATATATGTATTTTATAATTTGAAAGAAGCTTTCTTAAAGAGTGAGAAAATACCTCAATAGTGCAGACTTTTTCAATGTGTTTCGTGCAACTCAAGAGACCCTTGTTAACTAATAAAAATGATAATAAAATGATAACAGGATGGGATCAGTAATGGCAGTTGGCCAGGTGCTCACAGGTGGGTGACTCTGCACCCGGCTCCTCTTGCTGTGTTATGTCCTTCTCACAAACAAGACAGGTTCAGAGAGGCGCGGTAATGTGCCTGGGTCACACCACAGCTGTCACGTGGTGCACGTGGCTTCATGGAAAGGTTAATACAGAGTTCGTCCAGGGCAGAATATGAGTGACCCTGGCCGCGGAGACACAAGCCCAGTGCTCCAGTGCCAGTCAGAGTGTGCATTCCACGGCGGTAAATCTGTATTTATCGCTCCGCGCGATCATGCTGGGCTTTGGGTCAGCAGGGGTGCACCTCTCACAGGCTGGAGCTCACGTTGGTTACAGAGACCGGCAGAGACCGGGGCTGCCGAGAGGAAGGCTGAGGTTCTGCTGAGAGGGGCGGTCCTGGGACCAGACAAGGAGGGCACGGCCCTGAACCAGGGGCCATCCGAGGTTGCTCCGATGGCTGCCCCGCAGACCCTGAGGGTGCAGCACCAGTCCCGTGGGCCTGTGGACAAGACAGACGGACGGCTCTGCACAGCTGTCGGGTGGGGGCCGCCTGGGAGAGACCGTGCTGAGTGGTGTAAGGCCGTGCCCCTCCTGGGACTGGGACATTTGCACTTTGTGGGTGATGGAGACAGGGGAGGGGCAGCAATTTCTGTTGTGGGGGGAGAGAGTGAGAACACCCCCCCCCATGCTAGTCTTGTTCTTAGGTTCTGGTCTCCACCCATGAAATAATCAGAGAAGGAGGGAGACACACACTCAGCTGGGAGTAGGAGGAAGTGAGCGCTAGCGGTTGGCAAGATTCCAGGTCTTGCCCCTGGAGGATAGGGCTGGTTCTGGGAGCAGGGCCTAATTAAATATTTAAAAGAGGCGGAGTTTGGGGTGGGGCTACAGGAGTTTCATGGTGTTGGGTGCAAGTGCGGCTGCAGGAATCTAGGAAGTGTCACCGAGTCTGTTGCATGATGGGAGGTGAGGCTTGGAAAGTCTAGTGCATGATGGGAGGTGAGGCTTGGCGAGTCTAGTGCATGATGGGAGGTGAGGCTCGGCGAGTCTGGTGCATGATGGGAGGTGAGGCTCAGGTGCCTGCTTGCCCAGCGCACAGAAAGCCAATCACTGACATCGCCGGCAGGGGGCTCCACTCCTGGGGGCTTACAGGTGGCTGGGAGGAGGTGTGTGCTGAGCTCGCAGCCATGTTGCTCCTGGCTGCAATGCCCTGCCCATGACTGTCCTGTGATTGGTGTTGCCGTATCTTTTAGGGGATGTCTGAGCGGGCTGCGGCGGGCGGCAGGCAGGTGGTGGTCATGTCTGCTCCGGCCCTGGCATTGGCCATGGAGAAAGCCCTCTAGACCATGCCAGCCGTGAAGGCGTTACCTGTTGGTGCAGGGGTGGCCTGCAGAGCCCGGGGATTGGAGCCCGTGGGGCTGCCTGCCCCATTCCCGCAGCTCGGCGGCTTAGTGTTAACAGGCACAGCACTGGGGCTTGATTTCAGATCCAAGGGAGGCCTGTGAATTTGGACACACCTGCGCCGTCCTCTCCACTCAGCTTTCATCAACCTTGAAGCTGACACTTGGTGTCTCGGTGTCTGTCCAACTAACTCTCACACCCGGCTGTGTTTCCAAACCTGGACAAGAAGTGGGGGTGGTTTAAGGACTCCTTGTGTCCTGGTGGCTGGTTGCTCCTTACCGGGGCCTAATTGTCTCCTGCCATGGGAGGACACCACAGGATGCAGAAGCAGCAGCACCGTCCCAGTCCACCTGCTGTCTGGGAGAACCAGGAAGGAAGTTACATAAATGTCCCATTTAGAAGAGTGAGTGGCATATTGTCTTGCAAATGAATTTTTATTCTTTTGGGTGGCCTGGATGTTTTCCAAAGCCCATCATTAATACTGCATAGAAATGCAAGTCTGTCGTCTCTCCCAGGAGCCCAGGCGCCTTCTCTAGGCACAGCCTCAGGTGCTGGGATTAAGAAGAAAACAAGATCTTCTTAAAGCCCCAGCCCTGTCCCCCACGCTTCGGGCTTGCATTTGCAGAATGAAGCCTGTGCCTCACTCTGGCCTGCCTCTCCCTGGGGACTGGGGTTTTCGGGACACGCGGACAGGAGGAAGGAGACCTGTCTGGGCTCCTGGCAGGTGCAGGCAGAGGGGGCCTGTGGCTCCCGGTCCCCCTTTCCCCTTCAGCTTGGATTTAAATCACCCTCCGCCCCATCCCCACCGGGACTGCTCTCGGGTGCACCTCTTCTTCCCGAACGCCTGGATGCTCCGACATCCAGTTCGCCGCCAGCGTCTTCGGTCCTTCCCTGGTCCCTGCACCTCCTTCCGCCATGCCTCCATCACACGTGCCTGGGCCTCCCCACAGTGATGTTATTAACAGCAGCAGACCAGCAAAGACATCAACCTCTCATACGTAACCCAGCGGCGCGTCAAGCAGTTCTAAGCACTTAGAGGCTTTCTGTTCATTTCATCAGACCACCGGGCGAGGCACTGCGGCTTCTTGCCGTGCTGGAATGAGAAGGATCAGAGTCACCCCTCGCCTACAGCAAAGCAAAGCAAAACACGAGAGCAAGGTGTGTGAGGCTGAGGACCTGGACCTCAGGCCAAGGGGTCCCTGAGACATGGCGGCAGCTGAGCCCAGCCCTGCAGGTGGCCCAGGGGCTGCCCTGGAAGGGTGTCCTGCTGAGGTCCAGCAAGAAGGAACCAGGCGGGGACAGAGCCGAGGCTCTGGGAACCCCAGGCAGCTCAGTTTCGCGGGATGGGAAACCGGCGAGGAATGAGCTGCATGGAGGGAGAACTAGGAGAGAGCCCTGGATCCCCTTCCTACACCTGATACCTGCTCAGCGCCTGTATGGGAGGAAAACACGACCCCACCCCAGAGGGTTAGGGAGAAGAGCACTCAGCACCATGCAGGGCCCCCACAGCCAACTGGGAGACCCCCTCACAGTGGGCACAGCGGAGAGGACTCAGGTCTTGCCCAGTGGCGGTGGTCATCTCCACACTGAAGTCTACGCTGATGTCACTAAATGTCCTAAAGCGTGACCAGCAAAGACCAGTCCGCTTCCAGGGATCTCAGCCGCACCCCTGACCAAAGCTCCGGGTGACCAGGGCCTTCGGAAGATGCAAGGACAATGCATATTGTGAAAAGGCTGCGCGCAGGCCTAACACGTGTTGTGTTGTGCCAAAAGAAGCTTTTTAACTCTGTTTCTCCATGAGTGTTTTTGAAGTACCCTCCAAAAATATCCAGGATAAACTCACAATGGAAAATTGCCATTCATGACACGAACAGGACAGGCGTGACTGCTGACGTGGGGAAGAATCCGTCCAGGGAAGCAGCCCAGAACTGCCGGACTGGTAGAAGGACCAGAGAGTTACGCTAAGAGTGAAGCTGTTTCCCATGCATTTCCCAGAGGTCAAGTAGAACGTGGAGGCTATCAGAGGACCCGAGGAGTCTGCACCTGAGGTGTCTTCCCTGTATCGGCATCAAGAGCAGACTGCAGAATAGCGGGTTAGTGAACTGGGAAGCCTAGACCCGTCAACGATTCAGAACAAAAGCAGGAGGAGACGAGCAGAGCCGCTGAGCTGTGGAACAACTTCGTCTGACCAAACCCAGAGGAAATGGATTTCCCAAGTGTAGGGGGCAGGAAATATTATAAGATACAGAGGCTGAAAATCTCCCGCGTTTGATAAAAGCTCTAAACCTACAGGATTCAGGAGATTCAGCAAATCCCAAGCATGAGAGACAGGAGAATTACTCCACGGACCTCGTGGTCAGATGGCTCCAAGCCAGTGACAAAGAAAACTGTAAAAGCAACAAGAGAACAGATAGATTGCAGACATTACCGAATGAGGATCGGATGGACGGATGTCTCATTGCAAACCGTAGAAGCAAGATAACGGATGGCTGTCCTCCAAGACACTGTCGGACTCAAATTCTACATCGAAGGTAGGTCCTTCAGTAACGGAAGTGAACAGACGTTTCCAGACGTGGTTCCTGAAACATTTCATCGCCGGGAGTCCCATGGAGCAGAAACCGTGCAGGAAGTCCTTTAGACAGAAAGGTGCGCGTAGATGGAGCCTGGACTCGCACGAAGACGTGAGCCCCAGCCACGCCACGGCGATGGCGCGAGCAAACGCACAGACTGTGCTTAACAGTCGGCCGACTGCGTGGCCGGTGTTCTTGAGAGATAAAGAGAATGGGGCAGGATCTGTGTGCATGGAGATGAGCCTCGACAATGCTACGCCAAGGAGAAGCCAGACACATTGCTCACGCATTGCATCGTCCCGTTTACGTGCAGCATCCACCATCAGTAAAGCCGCAGAAGCAGGGCGGGGCTGGTGGCTGCCGGGGACCGGGCGCGGGGACGTCCGGGGCGTCACTGCCTGCCTGGTGCGGCGTTTTCTTCTGCATGATGAAGCATTTCGGAACAAGATGGGTGGGCTGGGCGCACAGCACTAAGTCCTCATTAATCGTTGACTTTAAATGTCTGTCTTCTGAATTTCTTCTCAATTCACATTTCCCAAGAATTCATTGGTTCAACCGAAACCGCCAGGGAGAGGTGGATCAGGCATGTGGAACTGCACTGTATGGGGGGAGAAATGGAGGTGAACTGGTGTAGAGTTGCAGCCCTCCGTGTGGAACGGGTGTTGTCACCTGGAGGCAGCCTGTGGGCAGCGCAAGCTGGGAGCTGCTGAAATGACAAAACAGACTTGTAACCAAGAGACCAACAAGGAGACAGCATAGAAACACAAGTCCTGGGGGCTGGCGCTGTGGCATAGTGGGTAGAGCGGCCACCTGCAGTGTCTGCATCCCATAAGGGCGCTGGTTCAAGTCCCGGCTGCTCCACTCCTGGTCCAGCTGTCTGCTGTGGCCTGGGAAAGCAGTAGAAGATAGCCCAAGTCCTGGAGTCCCTGCACTCACGTGGGAGACCTGGAAGAAGCTCCTGGCTCCAGTTCGGCGCAGCTCTGTCAATTGTGGCCATCGGGAGAGTGAACCAGCGGGTGGAAGACCTCTCTCTCTCTTTCTCTCTCTCTCTCCCTCTCCCTCCCTGCCTTCCTCTCTCCCTCCTTCCCTCCCTTCCTCTCTGTAACTCTGCCTTTCAAATAAATAAATAAATAAATAAATCTTAAAAAAAAAAAAAGAAACACAAGTCCCAGCTGTTCTACTTCCCATCCAGCTCCCTGCTAATGCGCCTGGGAAAGCAGTAGAGGATGCCCCAAGTGCTTGGGCCCCTGCACCCATGTGGGAGACCCAGAGGAAGCTCCTGGCTCCTGGCTTCAGATCAGCACAGCTCCAGCCTTTGCGGTCATCTGGGGAGTGAACCAGTGGATGGAAGACCTCTCTCTGTCTCTCCTTCCCTCTGTAGCTCTACCTCTCAAACAAACAAATAAAATCTTAAAAAAAAAAAAAAAGAAGGAACCTAAGAATCCAAAAGCAGATGATAGACGATGACCCACACGGTAATTATGCTGATCGAAAACAGACAAAACACCGGACGCCCCGCATGTTTCCTTTATAAAATCTACAGAAAATTCTAATGAATTTCTGGTGACAGAAAGCAGGTCAGCGTTACCCATGGGGTGGGGGTCTTCTGGGGGACCAGGTGTTAACCTGGTTACGGTGATGGTTGCTTAGATGTAGAGACATTTCAAAATGCATCATGTTGTGTATGTTAAAAATGTGCCCTTATGTGGCGTTTCAGCTCCTTGCCACTGTTCAGTGCTATGAGTTGGGGGGCATTATTATTCCCGCTTTGTGGATGGAGACCTATAGGCTTGGAGAGAGCTTAATGACCTGCCCGAGGTCGCCAGTCGGCAAGTGGAAGAGTTGGCATTCATCGCCCACGCGGGTGGCTCAGAGCCGGGGACCGGCAGTGCCGCGCCTGCGCCCCTCGTCGGTCAGGAGCTCCTGTGGGCTTAGATCCACACCCGCTTCTGCTGCGTCCCCTCTGTGCTCCCTGGGTGCCCCGCCCATCCCTTTGCATGTGGTTCTGTGCTCATTCACGAGTTTGTGGATTAACGAGCAAAGGAGAACTCAAAGTGCAGAAGTTGCTGTGGGGGGAGGCTGCTGCTGCCGCCTGTAGGGCACCTTGGGGGCTTGCCGGCGTCCCCACGGGGAAGTGGCATCCCGTTCTGTCCTGGAAGGACGCTGGGCCACCCACGGGCTCCATGCCCATTATCTGCAGTTACCATGGAGACCGGTGGCTGTCACCTGACTCCAAACCAGGGCTAGACTGAGGCCAGGCAGCAACCTTTGAGAGTGGGACATTGGTCCTTTTTTTTTTTTAATTCATTATTTATTTGAAAGTCAGAGTTACACAGAGAGAGAGGAGAGGCAAAGAGAAAGAGAGAGAGAGAGAGAGAGAGGGAGAGGGAGAGGTCTTCCATCTGATGGTTCATCCCCAATTGGCTGCAACAGCTGGAGCTGCGCTGATCTGAAGCCAGGAGTCAGGAGCTTCTTCCAGGTCTCCCACGTGGGTGCAGGGGCCCAAGGACTTGGGCCATCTTCCGCTGCTTTCCCAGGCCACAGCAGAGAGCTGGATCAGAAGTGGAACAGCTGGGAACCAGCACCCATAGGGATGCCGGCACTGCCGGCCAGGGCGTTAACCCACTGTGCCACAGCGCCAGTCCCTGGTCCCTTTTGAGCAGGGAAGGACAGCGCCAGTCTTTGTCCCAGGGGAGTTGTGCTGTTAGCCATGAGTCTGTGCTTTGCCTGCGGCCCCTGGCATGTGGGCTCCTCTGTAAACCGTGTACAAAGGCACCGCAGCGGTCAGCTCAGGACCATGTTCCGTGCCTCGCTGCTGTCAGGCGCAGGCTCTGCGAAGCCACGGCACGAGCCCCCAGGACAGATTGTTCGCCCCTGGCCCGCAGCCTCCCGCCCTCTAGAGCGCTCCTTCCCTCTCCCCAGGGGCCAGTCACAGGGAGGAGGCCTGAGCTTGTCAGGCCAGCGCTCGCCTTCATCTGAGGGACGCGTGGGAGGACCCGGGGCGGGTGTGTGTGTGTGTGTGTGTGTGTGCTGTGCAGCCGCGGACGAGCAGCCTCTGTCTCCCGTCCGTATTCTTCCTGACGCATCTCCATAGACACATGGGCGTTTCAGAAGATTGTGAAACAAAACTCATCACACTGTTGTCCAGGGTGTAATTGCACTGTAAAGCGCGGCCCAGACACTGTGCCATGTTCACCCCATTCTCGGGCGTGGTTTGGGGCAGTAGGCACGTTGGTGGTGTTGTGCACCGTCCGCCTCTGGCACTTGCCGTCTTTCCAAAGTGAAACCCTCTCCCCATTAAACAGCTGCCCGTTGCTCTGCCCGCCGCCCCCCGGCAGCCAGCGTTCACTGTGGATGTAGCTGCTTTGGGGACCTCACGTGACGAGAGACTCGGGGGCTCTGTGTGCTTGTGTTGGGCTTACGGCACCTGGCTCGCATCATGTCCCCATCTGTTCACTCCCAAAATGGCCACGGTGGCTGGAGCCGGGCTGATCTGAAGCCAGGAGCCAGGAGCTTCTTCCAGGTCTCCCACGTGGGTGCAGGGGCCCAGGGACTTGGGCCATCTTCTACTGCTTTCCCAGGCCATAGCAGGGAGCTGGATCAGAAGTGGAGCAGCCAGGACTCAAACCAGCACCCATACGGGACACTGGCACCATAGGTGGAGGCTTAGCCTAGCATGCCACGGCGCCTGCCCCTTCAGCTTTTCTGTGTTACACTGGCCCGGGGGCTGAGCTGGTGACACTGGGAACCGTCAGGCATCATGTGTCTGCAGCAGTGGCTCTGTGGACAGGCTGAGGGTGGCTGGTAGAGCTGTTCAGTGGAGCGAAGGGAAGGAGAGAGCGGGCTTGCCTCTAGGACTCCCCGGGGCACCGGGGGCTGCGTTCCCGTGAGTGACAGGTGGGCGAGCCGGGAATGGCGGCAGGGCAGAACACTTCTGGGGACATGTTGGCAGCCAGAGGCCCCGAGGACAGACAGCAGGGCTTCAGGGTAGTGGGCGTGGGAGGGCATTGCGGCCATGGCCGAGAGCCGGGCCGGACATGGAGAGCATGGGTGGGGCTCGGTGGGCTATCAGAAGAGACGGGCCCAGGTGTGGGTGTGGGTGCGGGAAAGGAGCAGACGGGTGGGCTCCGAGCCTAGTGTGAGCTTCACCCTCTGGGAGCTGGGGACCCTGCAGGGTCTTGGGTAGGGCAGCAATGCGGCTCCGCTTCCCTCGGCATCGAGCGGGAGGGACGTGGAGTGAGGGACAGCACGCGGGGCCGTCCGAGGCAGTGGCAGGTTCCCAGGGCTGCCTCAGCTGCTCTACCCCTTTCCTCCCAGGCTCGGGGGGAACTGCTGCGGGAGAGAGTGCGGCGGCTGGAGGCCCAGGAGGGCCGCTTCGCGGAGTCGCTGGTGGCGCTGCAGTCCCAGAAGGCGGCGCGGGTGACCGAGACCCTGTCCACCTACGGCGCCCTGCTCAGCCTCCAGGACCTGCTGCTGGAGGAGCTGCGCGACACCGAGACCCTGACCAAGGCAGCCTGCACCCAGATCCTGGAGTCGCACGGCCCGGTGAGTGCAGGCGCCGCGGGGCAGGGGTGGGGCTGGGGCCTCTGTCCCTGCCACCCTGGACTGGGCTAGGTCGCCTTGCAGTGGGGACTGAGCGGTGACGTGGTGGCACGTGGCACCCTCGCAGCATTCCTACCTCTGGGGCGACCCTTTGCGTTTTCACCTCTCCGAAAGCATGAGCTCCAGCCAGCGGCACACGTCATCACCGTGCAGGTGATGGGTTTTCTTGTAGTCACGACAAGGTATCTTTTTTTTTTTTTTTTTTTGACAGGCAGAGTGGACAGTGAGAGAGAGAGAGACAGAGAGAAAGGTCTTCCTTTGCCGTTGGTTCACCCTCCAATGGCCGCCACGGCCAGCACACTGCCGCCGGCACACCGCGGTGATCTGATGGCAGGAGCCAGGTGCATCTCCTGGTCTCCCATGGGGTGCAGGGCCCAAGCACTTGGGCCATCCTCCACTGCACTCCCTGGCCACAGCAGAGAGCTGGCCTGGAAGAGGGGCAACCGGGACAGAATCCGGCGCCCCGACTGGGACTAGAACCCGGTGTGCCGGCGCCGCAAGGCGGAGGATTAGCCTGTTGAGCCGCGGCGCCGGCCGGCAAGGTATCTTAATGAATGACGACCTCAGCACTGCGGAGGGATTATTACTTTGCTGTCTGATTGTTGCTGTTACTCCTATAAGCTACGTTCTTTCAAAGTGTGTGAGATAGAGCCGATAATCAAAAGCCATGGCAATGACTGTTTTGCAGACGAATTTCAGGTCCTTTCTGTGCACATTCTAGAATGTCACATTACTGTTATTATAGTAATTAGTTACACCGAGGACAAAGGACCACGTTTGTTGAGTGCTTGGGGCAGGCGAGCGTGAACTGTGAGTGGACATGCTTGCATTTTAGCATTAAATCTTTACGTAATTATACTTCTTGGAGTTATCAGTTGGCAGTTAATACTAAGTTGCAAGGTTGTGGAGCTATGCTTTGACAGTGAATAGGAAGTGGCAGTGTTGTGGAGTTATCAGTTGGCGGTTGATACTAAGTTGCGATGTCATGGAGTTGTCTGACCTTCATGCTGTGTTGCAGTACAGTTCTGTTCTGCCTCACGCATTATGTTAACTGGTCACTGGGCCATGCCCTGGAGCAGGGCCTGTGGTTATGCTCAGTTCTCTGGTCAAGGCATTGAGGTTGGGGCAGTTGCGTGGCAGGGCAAGTTCTCTTTCAAATTGTTTTTAAGATTTTTATTTATTTTATTTGAAAGTCAAAGTTATACAGAGGGAGAGGGGGACAGAGAGACAGAGATCTTCCATCTGCTGGCTTACCCCAGATGGCCACAATGGCCAGGGCTGGGCCAGGCCAAAGTGAGGAGCCAGGAGCTTCATCCGAGTCTCCCACGTGGGTGCAGGGGCCCAAGCACTTGGGCCATCTTCTGCTGCTTTCCCAGGTGCATTAGCAGAGAGCTGGATCACAAGTGAGCAGCCGGGACATGAACTGACGCCCATTTGGGATTCTGGTGCCGCAGACAGTGGGCTAACCTGCTGCACCACAGCACTGGCCCTCAGTCAAGCTCTCTGAAGACCCCATGGCTGAGAAATGAGAGGCGCCATGAGTTGAGTGTGTCGCTGACGGAGACCTGCTGTGTCGTGTGCACGGATCACCCAGCTGAGCTGGCCAGGGGAGCCCAGGGGGGAAGGAACAAGTAGCCCAGGACCCGGATCCCGCAGAGGCAGTGGCTGTGCAGCACAGAGCACCGGCTGCTGGGCAGGTGGGGGCAGGCGCACTTCTTGGTGCTTTGAGGGCTCACGGAGAGTACGGAGCTACCCCAAGGGCCGAGGCAGTCCTGGGTGACGGGATCTCACGGAGAAGGCTGAAGGCAAACGGAGTGCATTCTCCAGGGGCGACGGCTGGCCCAGGACCAGAGACCTGGCGATGAACTTGGGGAAACAGCAGACGAGGCCTTGGGGTGGGAAAGGCAGTCAGGGTGGCAGGAGAGAGCCCCCGGCACAGCGTGCGCGTCTCCTGCCTGCTGCAGGTGTGGGTGACGCTTCCGGTGCCTTTTCAGTCCTGGAATTCCCTTGCCTGGGGGAGACTCAAGACGCGCGGCAGCCGCTCGGTCAGGGACCTCCAGGGCGGCCGGTGAGGCTGAGACGGCTCCAGGTCAGCTACTGGCCTGGTGCAGCGCCAGGGCCTGGCCAGAGGGCGATCTCCGTGGGCACTGCAGGATGTCCGCGGTCCCCCAGGAAGGACAGTGGGACAGGGGCACTGAGCAGAGAGAGAAGCCGGGCCAGGTCACCTGTGCTCAGGAGACACTGGGCAGGTAGCAGGCGAGGATCGCGGAAGACGTCCCCTCCCCGCACGATCAGAGAATGAGCTCTTGATGGATGAAATCGGGAGACGTTGAAGATCGGGTGACAAGATTTAAGGTTCTCTCCGCCTGGACTACGCAGCAGTTCCACGTTTGCATCATGCCTAGCGAGACTCGAAATCGCAGAAAGGAGAGTGGACAGAACCTGGCGGAGCGGACGAGCCCGTCGTCCCACAGGGACATCGCAGCACACGTCTTCCAGTGTCATCGAGGGGTCCCATGAATCACGGGGAGAGGACTCGGTCCCTGCCCGGCACGCGGAGCGAGCTGCTTATGGAGCACGTACAGGGGTGCACGGCCAGCACCCAGCCAGGGCCTCACAGCCAAGTTCAACAGCATTGACTGCACGATGTCATTTCACCCACCTTGTGACAAGGGACAAGTAAGGGTAAAAACGTCTGTAAAAGATAATTATAGGGCCGGCACCGCAGCTCACTAGGCTAATCCTCCGCCTTGCGGCGCCAGCACACTGGGTTCTAGTCCCTGTCGGGGCGCCGGATTCTGTCCCGGTTGCCCTCTTCCAGGCCAGCTCTCTGCTGTGGCCCGGGAGTGCAGTGGAGGATGGCCCAAGTGCTTGGGCCCCTGGACCACGTGGGAGACCAGAGGAAGCCCCTGGCTCCTGGCTTTAGCCTGGCCCAGCCTTGGCTGTTGCAGCCATTTGGGGAGTGAACCAGTGGATGGAAGATTGATCTCCCTCCCACCCTGTAACTCTGACTTTCAAATAAATAAATAAATAGGTTGAATATTTTTCAAGATCTCTCTCTTCAGGGACCTGGATCCTTGTGTGATCCAGCTCTGGCGTCCTTGTGTGATGTCAGGGTTGCAGCTGGTGACCTAACCCACTGTGCCACGACACTGGCCCCGATAAATAAGTCTTCAAAAAATATATAAAAGAGACCTATGCATAGTTCATGGACATGTAACAGTACCCAGAGCGGGACAGTAATGGCCCCCTGCTCCCGCGATGACGCTAGGCTGACTCGAAGCCGGACGGGAAAGGTGTGAGAACAGGTGCAGTCCGTCTGTGAAGACAGATGGGCAACTTGTAAGGGACAACGGCGTTAGCACAGCCCAGCCCTCTCTGAAACGGGCTGCCTGGTGGCCGGTGTCTAAGTTTGCTTCGGCACAGAGCAGCCATTCACCCAGGTCCCCGGGTCAGTAAAGGGGGAGAACGGACGCAGCCACCCAGTGTGTGCAGAGTAATCTCCGCCTTGCGTTTAACACGGATGCAAGGGCGAACTCCACGCCGCTGCCTGCCCAGGCCCGCGCAGGTCTCCTGCGTGGGGCGGTGAGCGTGCCCTGGACGCTGCCCAGCATTCCACGTGGGCAGACTGAGAGGGAAGTCAGGGCCAAGGTCATTTAGTGAGTTGGGGGCGAGTGAGACACGGTGGCCTCTGAGCTTTGATTCACGTGTTAGTCTATTCCTTAGGAACACCCTCAGCCCAGGGCTGGGATTACCGGCAGCAGGTGAGCCTCGGCCTGCAACGCCGGCGACCCATTCCAGTCCCAGCTGCTCTGCTTCCGATCCAGCTCCCTGCTAGTGCCCCGGGAAAGCAGTGGAATACAGCCCGAGTGCTTGGGCCCCCGCACCCACGAGGGAGACCCGGCTGGAGTTCCAGACCCCTGGCTTTGGCTGTTGTGGGCATTTGAGGGAGTGAACCCGAGGGAGGAAGATTCTCTCTCTCCCTTTCTCTCTCTCAGTTCCTAGAGAGAAGTAAGAGAGCGTGTGTCCTCCAAAGGGGTTGGTGCAGGTTGACTCTGCCTGTCAAAAAAAAAAAAAAAAAAGGAAAATGCATTGAATGTACCTAATCCATGGCACGTCCTGGCTCAGCAGTCCAGCACTGCTGGAGCCCCAGCCATGTCCCCTGATGACCATGACCGTGGCCGACCGTGAGCTGTGCTCGCTGCTGGCCCCGGCATCCCCAGAGGTGGTGGATGGACCTCACCGTGCTAGCCTGGATTTTCCGAGGAGGGTGGGGTGAAATCCAAGTTCAAAATGCCAAGTGGGCGGTGCGGTGTCTGCTGGACACAGAGCACTTCGCAGCAACCCGAATTTGAAAACTCCCAGGCGAATACGAAAACTCCTTTGGAAGCCAGCACCAGTCTGTTTATGTCATGCACTGAGGGCGGCACGGGGCACGCTGTTAGCACTCTTGATTTTAGCCACGGCCTCTGCGGCCCAGCACGGCTTGTGTGTGTGGTGGATGCCCGCACATCGCCCGCAGCTGTGGTGACAGTGGCAGCAGGTGGCAGTCGGGGGGAAGGGAGGTTTCAGACGATTGTTGGGGTGCGGCGTGTGTGCACAGGGGCATCCGTGCCTCCCAGGCGACTCGGCGACTTCCACCCAGGACGCTGCTCTTAAGCTGAGGCCTGGAAGAAGACTCGGAGCTGGGCGGGCAGACAGGAAAAGGCGCGGCAGGTGCAGAGCCTGGAGCTGGGAGGTCATGGCGCGGTCCCTCGGGGCGGCCCTGGCCGGCCCTCGCCGCTCACTCAGCGCCCGTCTCTCCTCGTGCAGGAGCTGCAGGAGCTGCAGAGGAAGCTGGAGGACCGGCTGGCGCAGCAGGAAGCCGCCCAGCAACAGCAGGCCCTGGAGAGCTGGCAGCGCTGGGCGGCCGACGGGCCCGGGCTGCTGAGCGAGCCTGGGGAGGAGGACCCTGCGGGGCGGATGTCCGCTGCCCTGCAGCAAGCCCTGGGCAAAAGCCAGGAGCTCCTGGAGCAGCAGCAGCAGAGGTAGGCTGGGCGTCCGGGCCTGGGTGGTGGCCTCTCCCGCTCTGGCCTCTCCAGCTCGGCCGGCCGCGCCCGCCTGGCCCCTGAGGTTCCGCCCGAGCGCTGGCTTGGAGCAGCTGACTCTTCCTGATGTCCCTCTCTCCTTTATGACTTTCCTTTTGACACCACTGAAGTTTGCTTAGGCTAAAATTTTGTAACTATCTGAATAATTGTAGGCACAGACACCTGGCTTCGTGGTTAGGATGCCCACAGCCCACATCAGAGGGCACGGGTTCGAGTGCCGGCTCCGCCCCTGCTCCAGCGTCCCCGAAGGCAGTGGTGATGGCTCCGGAGCGTGGGTTCCTGGTCCTGGCCTCCAGTGGTTGCTGGCCTTTGGGCAGTGGAGCAGACGCTGGGAGCACTCCCAGCTAATAAACTAAACAGTAAGACGCTTTTCTTTAAAAGCCAGTGTAGCTTCACAAGGAGTTGCAGAAACAGCATGGAGGAGCCCCGTGCTCGTCCCCAGCTCCCCCCGTGGCGGGCGTCCTGCAGGCTCACCACACACCCTCAGAACCGGGGGCTGACGGAGGCACAAGGCCTGAACCGGCTCCGAGCCATCCAGGCGGCACCGTACATGCCGCGTTTTGTAAAATCACGAATCCCATACGATGTTCTTCTGCTCTTTGGGCGCTTTTTCAGTCGTCGCTGGCCCTTGCCTTGCCTCAGCACAAAGACCCTTGGGAAAACTTCCCGTTTTGTAGCTCTAATTTTCCTCTCTGAGTGTGGTATTGGCATGAAAAGGACAGGTGCAAGCCCCACTCCTCTCCCTGCAATCCCTGGCCTGAGTCTTCAGTTTCTACCCCCTTGGGGAGAAGTTGCAACTTTGTTTCTTGTCATTGCTCCCTGCACAGCACAGGACAGCAGTTAGCTCACGTAGCCCGGATGGGGGTACGCCCAGAAAATTCATGGGGAATGCATCTTATGAGAAAAGCTATGTGTGGATTTCAGAGCGTGTGCAGGGGCTGTAACCTTTTAATTCCATTCTCCCATGGACGTTGTAAAGCCCCCTAGTGCCGAGCCTGAGTATTACAGGTGATGGAGCGATGACACGCAGGAGAGGGTGTGTGTGTTCCATGCAAATGCTGGGCAGATCTGTGCAGGGTGGCGGCTGGATGGGTTGTGGTGCAGGTGAAGGGGGCGGCTGGACCCAGACGTGCTTGCCCCGGAGGGGGCGGCTGGATGGGCCGAAAAATGAATGCAAGTTCATTGGCAGGAAGTAGACCAGATGCCATGGGTGATGAGGTTACAGGAGTTTACTTGATTCAATTGTGGTTTTCTGCCTGAACACAACATCCAAGCGCAGTTCTGTCCCCCCGAGGTTGTTGTGTGGCGGCCTCTGAGTCTGCGCTCAGAGGGAAGTGAGTGTAAATGCTGGCTCTGGGTGGGCTGGGAGGCGCGGGGGTGTGGCCCCCGTGTGCTCCTGCCTGTGGCCAGCCAGGGCCTGCACAAGGATTGAGCCAGGAGCCCAGAACTCCATCGGGGTCTCGGGGAGGGGGCGGGGAGCCAAGTGTTTGAGCCCTCAGTGCTGCCTCCCAGAGTGCGCACGAGCAGGAAGCTGGGGGGGGGGGCGCGGGGCTGGGACTTGAACTCAGCCACTGCAGTACGGGATGCAGGCGTCCCACGTGGCGGCTCCCCTGAAGCCCCGGACGCCTGCCCCGAGATGCCAACTGTAGTTGGCTCACAATGGTACCAAGAACCTGGGAAGAGGCCCCGGCCAGCCTTGTGGCCGTGCTTGGAAAATGGCGCTGGGCCCGCCTTACAGTGGGCGTGGACCCCCGATCTCCGTCTTCTTGGTCACGGCCTTGGACTGCTGGGCTTTTCACGGTGGGGTCCCAGGGCTCCCTGCAGAGTCAGAGAGAAGTCCCCTGGCTGTGCCTGTGAACTGCCCCCTCCAAGGAGCCTGTCCCTGGCGAGCCCTCGTTGATCCAGCGTTTGCTTCTCTCTCTCTTTAAAGATTTATTTTATTTATTTGAAAGGCAGAGTTACAGAAAAGCAGAGGGAGAGAGGGAGAGAGAGGTCTTCCATCCACTGGTTCACTCCCCAGATGACTGCAACAGCCGGAGCTGGGCCGATCCGAAGCCAGGAGCCAGGAGCTTCTTCCAGGTCTCCCACACAGATGCAGGGCCCAAGGACTTGGGCATCTCCCACTGCTTTCCCAGGCCACAGCAAAGAGCTGGATCAGAAGTGGGGCAGCTGGACGCAAACCAGCGCCCATGTGGGATGCCGGCGCTGCAGACTGGGGCTTTGCCCTCTGCGCCACGCCGGCCCCTGCTCTCCCAGCTCCTCACGAGGTTTTACTTCACTGCAGTTGCAGAGAGGAGCAGCAGAGCGGGGCCGTCCTGGAGGATCTGCTGGAGAAGATGGAGGCCGACACGGTCGGGGCGCTGTGCAGCCAGGTGGGCGGGGCTGGCGGGCGGGCGGCTCCTCCCCGGGGGCGGGGCTGAGGAAGCTGGCCTGGGGGACCACAGCCATTCCACTGCCTTTGGCCCCATGCGTCCAAGGCTTCCACCTAAGTCTCGTTGCTGTCCCCTCGACAACACAATGCTCGGCATGGCTTTTGCCTGTGTGGGGCAGGAGGATGTGTGGCCGTGCGAACGCGTTCAGCAAAACCACACCAGGCTGCATCAGAGACCTGAGCATCATCCGATTCTGCTACCCACGGGGTCCTGCCAACCACTGAGCCGCGGAGAGCAGGGAACCCCTGCGATCGGTATTCCCGGTGGGTTTCTTCGTGTGGTCTGGCAGGTCCCCAGGCCTTCCCCCTTTGCCTCAGTTCCACCAGGAGCAAAGCTGGGAAGAGTCGGGCCTGAGAAAGAGCCGAGTGAGGTTGCAGCCACGTTTTAGCTGCCTCGGGTGAGACCGGCCGACCCTTCTCTTCCTTGCCCAAGTGGCAGGTGCACCGCCCTTCCTCCCGGGGACAGAGCCCCTGGGTGCTGTGTCCAGGGTGACCTGCCGAGCTGCTCACCTGGCAGCCTGCTACGTGATGTGCTTTATCTGCGTCCCGAGGGGCACTTCCTGTATGTCCCCATTTCTGGGGGTCACGGGGAGCATGGCTGAGGGCCCGGGCTCCGCGCTCGGCACCGCATCAGCCGTGGGTGCTGGCTGGCTTTGCTGCAGGATGCCGTGATGGGGACCCCGCCCTGCGACCGTCTCACGGCCCAGTGCAGGTGCCCTGCCTCCCCTCGGTCGTCAAGGAAACAAGGGCCCCCAAGCCCTGCAGCACCCCCAGGAGGGGCCCGTGAGCCCTCAGGCAGCAGAGGGGAGAAGGGGCTGGGAACCCTTGGGTGTCCAGCCCCCAGCATTGGCCATAGCTGTCACAGTCACACCCAGCTCCAAAGGGACTCCTTTCCTGTGGCTGCCGTAACAAAGGCCACAGCAGTGGACACTCTGTGGGTCACGTGTCCAACTCAGGCGCTCCAGGCTAGAATCCAGGTGTCGGCCTGTTGGCGGTGATGGGGTGGGATGGGGGTGGCTCTCCTCGCTCACGTCACAGGATGGATTCGGTTCTCACACTCTGAGACCAGCCCCGTTTCCTTGCTGGCGGCCAGCCGGGGCCGCTCCCAGCGTCCGGGGCTCCAGTGTTCCTCGTCTCAAGGCCGCTTCCTTCATTTTCAAAGCCAGCAGTGTCTGCTCCCTGGGAAGTCCCCTTTGCCATGGACTGGGACCGGGCATCTCTGGGTGGCTGGGGTGCCCGGATTCTGCCCTGGGGGCATCGGCGCCATGGTCAACCCGACGAGCTCCATCCTCTGCCACGTGGCTGACCTGGGCGCCGCTGCTCCGCCCGCCTCCGCCGCCACCGAGCCTGGTGCGGGACGCCTTTCCCCTGCTGCCTCGCTTGCTACTGGTGGCCGGTTCTTCCGCCCAAGGAAATCTTCCAAAAAATGGGTTCGGTTCTTCCGGGACTTCCCGTCCCGCTGCAGATGTCAGCCACAGCACAGGGGCCCTTTGTGATCCGACACCCTGCTCCCCGGGCCCTCACCACCCCGCCCCCGCCTCACCCTAGGGCCTTTGCTCTTGCTGTCCCTCGCTGCATGTGTCCTGCTCCATGCTCCACTTCCCGCAGGTCTCTGCTCGGATGTCACCTTCCCCGGCCGCCGTCTTCAATGTGTCCCTTCATCCTGCCCGAGTTTTCACACTCAGGCCAGAGCTTGGTCTAGGGAGGTTTGCACGCCGCCCGAGCGAGCTGAGAGAAGTGGGTGGACAGAACCTTGAGAAGCTGACCAGCTAGAATTTTCTGACAGCTCTGTGGATGTGGGAAACTGTTTTCCAAACAGAGCTGCTAAAACATTCGTTACCCCGGGGGTGAACGTCCCGGGCGTGTGCTAAATTAAAAGCGGTGGGGGTTTGAGCCGCCTCCGCTGCCTCCCGCAGGAGCTGAGGCTGGTGTGCTACCTCTGCAAGATGACCCTGGTGCCCGGGGCCACGCTGCGCCGGCTGCTGAGCCTGGTGCTGCCCACCGCCTCGCAGCCCCAGCTGCTGGCCCTGCTGGACGCGGCCAGCGAGAAGCATTCGGACCACGCGGCGGAGAACGAGGGCGGCGGGGACCCGGCGGAGCTGGCCAGGAGGCGGTGAGTGCGCGCCGGGGCTGCCTGTGGCCGCAGGAGCCGGGCTGTGCAGGGGCGTCCTGGGGAGGGGAGCAGCCCCCTGCCTGGCCCTCTGTGTCAGAGTCCCTCCAAGTCATCCGTCCGTGCTTTCTGTTTTGCCCCCAGTGTGCTTTTGGATAGGATGTTGGGCAAACGCGCCTACCCTGGCCATGCAAAGGTCATCGGAGCCCGTTGGAAAAAATAAAGCTGACAAATGCATACAAGGAAAAATACTCACGGCTTTACCACCCGCACAGAAGGGACTTGACCCCAGGGCCAGCACAGAGCCCCCTCCTCCCCTCATCCCTCACGTCACCCCATATGCACACCCAGCACGCAGCCTCACCCTGCCTCGCCCACCTCCCAGGCCTGCTTCACGCTTCTGAGCCCCGGGATGGGCGGGGCAGAAGTGATGCAGACCTGCCAACCAGAGTGCATGGCACTCAGAATCCACGGCACCCAGAGTCCACAGCACCCAGAGTGGATGGCCACCCAGAGTGCATGGCCACCCACAGTGCACGGCACCCAGAGTGCATGACCACCCAGAGTGCACGGCACCCAGAGTACATGGCCACCCAGAGTCCATGGCACCCAGAGTGCACGGCACCCAGAGTCCATGGCACCCAGAGTGCATGGCCACCCAGAGTCCACGGCACCCAGAGTACATGACCACCCAGAGTCCATGGCACCCACAGCGCACAGCCCGTGGCAGGGGCCACGCCCAGGGCAGTTCACGGAGTCCTCAGGGATGCTCCCTGCAGCTCCCTTCTCAAATGCCCCGCCTCTAGGCTGCCTTCCTGTCGCCATCTGTGATCCTGTAAGGGCGGAGCGAGCACTGTGACCAGGCCCCTGGAGACCCTGGTCACCGTGTGTTGGGTGAAACGAGATACCACGGGGAAAACGGCCTTTCTGGTGTCGCCGGAGGCCCGGATCTCTCACTGCCGGAAGGTTCCAGGGCTTTGGAAGCAAACGACTCTCCCTTCCCCTGCCAGGAAGCACCGGGGCTGGTGGCAAGCCTTGGAGCGCAGACTGCGAGAAGACCTGAGCAGCAGGGGGTTTGAAAAGAGGCTGTGGTTTCGCGAGAGGAAGGAGAGGTAACGGCGCGCCTGCCGGGCCGGGGGGCTGCTGCGTGCGGGGGTGGCCGCGGGCGGAAGCCGAGAAGCCGCTACAGATGGCCCAGGTCTCTTCCCTGAGGACCACGGCTCTCTGTTCCGTGGGCTGTTTGCGAGCCACTGGGGGCAGAATGTTCTAGCATGTGTGAGCGTTTTAATGGCTGCATTTGCTGCATTTGCTGGCTATTTTAATAGGAGATCATTAAAAGCTGAAAATAATGAGAATTCCCGATGGCAGCTCCCAGAGCTCTTTCGCTGCTGGCTACATTGCACCTTCCAGAGAGTGCGGCTCAGACGCAGGGGCTGGGAGTGGGGTCGGGTGCAGAGGCTGGGAGTGGGGTCGGGTGCAGAGGCTGGGAGTGGGGTCGGGTGCAGAGGCTGGGAGTGGGGTCGGGTGCAGAGGCCCCAGCATGCGGCCGTGGGGCTTGAGGCCATCTGACTCGATCCCTTTAATTCCCGAAACGTCCAGGCGTGTGCTGCCTCCACCCACGCCTGTGCTTTTTGGCTGGAGGCACCGCGCACCTGCAGAGAGGCTGTGTCACACGGCAGACCCTGCTCCGCTCACTGCTCGCAAGGCAGCGGGAGGGGCTCACGCTCACTGGCGGCTTACAGCTGGCGCATGCCCGGTGACGGCGGCTCTGTCCTGCCCTGTGGCTTTAGGTTGTGTAGGTCTCTCACGGGTAGTCAGAGGCACTGTCACGTCCAGCCAGGGACTCGGGATGGACGGCTATGGACAGACTCCCAGTAATCCTTTTAGGGGGGCCGCTCCTGAAGTGTGCTGCCCCGTTCCATCTCAACACCCCTCGCCTAATTCCACACATTGCTTTGTAACCCTGTTCCATGGGCCTGCTTGTGGGGGAGACCCACACAGTCTTCAGCCACTGGAGAGAGGGCCAGGGAGCCCTGGTTTGCAGCATTGCTGATTTCCATGGCATAAACCCGTGCCCTCCAACTTCACCCTGGCGGCGGTGGGCTTGTAGAATTCCAAATGCGAGGCTGTCACAGCCAGGAGGGGTTGACGGCAGCCTGCCGCGGGCACAGGGCCACCCAGCAAGTACAGGAGCAGTCCTTTCTGTAGTGTGGACATGGGGCCGGGGACGGCGGGGACACAGAAGGGGACCCTCCTGTCCTGTCGGAACCCTCGGCTAGGGAGGACGTGCAGCGTGACCCTCTGTTCTGTCTCCAGCATATTGAAGAAGGCGTGTCCGCCGCTCAGAGAGAGGACGATGTTCTCTGCGAAAGGCAGCTGGCCACAGCTGTCCCTGGAGCCCGTCGGCGAGCCGGCGGCCGTGCCCGTGGTCGGGCTGGAAACCATCGAGGTGTTCAACGCCGGGGAAAAGCTCTTCATTTTCCGAAATCCGCAGGAGCCGGAGATCTCGCCGCGCGTTCCGCCCAGGAGGAAGAGGAGGAACTTCCTGAACGCCAAAAAGGCCACTCGGGCCGCGGCCGTGGACCGGCAAGAGGGGGAGGCCCACGGCGGCCTCTGAGCTGGCTCTTCATCTTCTGCCCACCGTGCGCGTGGCCCGTGCACGGCGGCAAGTTCAGGCTGTGCCAGTGGAGGACCCAGACCCTCCGGCTTCCAGGGACGCAGTGTAATCTGTGGATTTCCCGACGGCACTGGCTGCCGCATCATAAGGACTCAAGCTGCCCGTCCTTTCCGTCCCCTCACCAGGGGTCTGGGGGAGACCTGCACCCCCCAGTTCTCACGCCCCGCCCGACTGCCTGCCACGGACTCCGTCCACGTCCACGGCAAGGCTCTGCGCTCTTCTTTCTGCATTTGTTACATATTCTGCTTTTTTTTTTAATTTTTTATTTTTTGACAGGCAGAGTGGACACTGAGAGAGAGAGTCAGAGAGAGAGACAGAGAGAAAGGTCTTCCTTTTGCTGTTGGTTCACCCTCCAATGGCCGCCGCAGCCAGCGCACCGCACTGATCTGAAGCCAGGAGCCAGGGGCTTCTCCTGGTCTCTCATGGGGTGCAGGGCCCAAGCACCTGGGCCATCCTCCACTGCACTCCCGGGCCACAGCAGAGAGCTGGCCTGGAAGAGGGGCAACCGGGACAGAATCCGGCGCCCCAACCAGGACTAGAACCCGGTGTGCTGGCGCTGCAGGCGGAGGATTAGACTAGTGAGCTGCGGAGCCAGCCTACATATTCTGCTTTTATACAAGAAACTTTAAAAAATATTTTACACATGGTTCTTCATAAAGGACTGACCTGTTTGTAAACGCTTGGTGTGTCTTGGCTCCCGTCGTGGCACCGATGCTGGTTAGCACTGGGCCCAGACTGCTCGGTGCTGGCCCGTTCAGCAGGGTGGGTGCGAGGGAGCAGTTATTCCAGAAGCCGGACGCCGGGCAGGGGAAGACAGAGCTCGCTGCTTCCAAATCTGCAGCTCTGCAGGAGGACTTGTGACGGGGGGAGGGGAGTCGGGGGCGCTGAGGGCAGCTCCCTGGGTTTCCAGGGTCGCTTTCTTGGGGGGTCTTTGATACAGGACAGCTGTTGGGGGCTGGTGGTCGGAAAAACTTCCTTACAGGGTCTGCTGTTCCCGCCCCCTCCCTGCAGTCACCCCGGAAATGCTCGTGCACCCGCCGAGCAGGCATTACACTCGCATCAGTGGGCGTTGGCTGTTGGGATTCCACGAGCAGAGGCAGAGGCAGTTTGCTTCCAGCTGCAAACCCGTGGCGAGCCCAGGGTTAGGATGCGGAGAGGAGAGGAATTCTCGTGTCCCAGGAGAGATCAGCTGCTGAACAGGGACTTTGCAGAAGGTCCCGGGGGCGGGGGGGCTGCCTGCAGTCCTAACGAGCCGCCATTGGCCGTGTCCCCCAGCGCTGGTGGATAGGCACGAGCAGAGAGGAGAGCTGACGAGGCCAGTTTTCCCATCTAGGAGATCTAGGTGGTCACACGCGGGGTGGGGGAGTGGAAGGTGTACCCAGCTGACCCGAGTTCCAATCCTGGGCGCTCCCTTTGGGCCGTGGGCTCCTGGGCGAGTTTCTGGCCTTTCTGAGTGTCTTTTTCCTTCCCGGCAGAATGGCGAGAACCCCCTAGTCAGGATCAGAGGCAGCTGTCGGTGGTGACCGTGTTCCTGTCGGCTAGCTCGCTGCTTTTGCAGGGCCTCTGCTGGAGTTATGCACAGTTGAAAGGAGATTGCACGGAAGGATTAAAAAAAAAAATAGCTCCAACGTATAGACTGGGCGGTGATTGAAGAGGCCATTAGCAGCCAAAGGAGGTGCCCCAGCAGGTCAGAGCCCAGCATCGGAACCTGGTAACAGCGCCCTCTGTCGGTGGACAGGAGAGCCCAGCCTCGGATTCGCCCCAGGATGTGCTGGGCAGCCAGGTGGATGGGGTTGGAGCTATGGGAGTGTGCAAGCAGAGGCAAATCCCTTCCTTTCTCTTCGCCCCACAAGTGTCCACTGAGTGCTGTCTGCCTGCACCCTGATGGCTCACTCACCAAATCTGTATGGAGAGGGAGGCTTCAAAAATTGCGTGGGGAAGAATATGCATATTATGAAAAATCTAGGCATGGACTTTAAAACTTTTTTTGCAGAAAAACTGCCTTTAAAATTGTTTTAAGTTGGTTGATTTGAAAGGTGGAGAGAGAGAGAGGGTGTCCCATCCACTGGGTCACTCCCCAAATGCCCACAATAGCCAGGGTTAGGCCAAGCTGAAGCCAGGACCCCGCAACTCACTCTGGGTCTCCTGCGTGGGTGGCAGGGACCCAAGGGCTTGAGCCATCACCTGCTGCCTCCCAGGGTGTGGCTCAGCAGGGAGCTGGAGCAGAAGCAGAGGTGGGGCTCGAACCCAGGGACTCCAGTGGTGATACAGGTGCCCCAGGCAGCACTGTAACTGCTGCAGCAAATGTAGGTTTAGATTCCTACTCCGGGGACTATTGCATTCTTACACAGCAGTCTTCTTAGTACATCGGGACTAAAACTCAGCTATCGAAAAAGGTCAGAGGCAGGCGGAAATGCTAACATTAAAACTGAACACTCAACTAGCGAGGTGAGTATGCCGTGATGGGGAGCACGCATCTGCGCCAAGAAGCTGAGAAGCTGAGAAAACTCCTCTGACCCTCAGCATCTGACGTCCCTTTTTAAAACCATATCGGGACCGAATTGCTGTCTAATGGATGCACAGATTTTTTTTTTTTTTTTTTTTTGGACAGGCAGAGTGGACAGTGAGAGAGAGAGAGACAGAGAGAAAGGTCTTCCTTTTGCCGTTGGTTCACCCTCCAATGGCCACCACGGCTGGCGTGCTGCGGCCGGCGCACTGCGCCTATTCAAAGGCAGGAGCCAGGTGCTTCTCCTGGTTTCCCATGGGGTGCAGGGCCCAAGCACTTGGGCCATCCTCCACTGCACTCCCGGGCCACAGCAGAGAGCTGGCCTGGAAGAGGGGCAACCGGGACAGAATCCGGCGCCCCGACCGGGACTAGAACCCGGTGTGCCGGCGCCGCAAGGCGGAGGATTAGCCTAGTGAGCCGCGGCACCGGCTGGATGCACAGATTTAAGATGTGTGATCAAATGTGCTCTGGCCGTGATCAAGACAACGAATGTTTCCCCCTCCCCTCCTGTCTCCGGGGCCCTTGTAACCCCTCCCTGCAGGTGCACGCCCCCGCCCCACCCCCTACACCAGTCTGCGGTTCCTGCGTAAGGAACGGAGCAGCCTTGCCCTGAGACAATCATTCTACGCGTCATCCAATCCACATGGCTGGGCTTCTGCATGGCGATAGTCCGTTCTTGTTCAGGGTAGCGTGGGCTGACTGCGCGTGCATTTCCTGCTGGGGGCAGTTGGGATGGTTTGGGTTGTGGCCCTGACAAGCAGAGCTGCTGGGAACATTTCTGGACGAGTCTTCGGGTGGATGCATGCTTTGCCGTGTTTGGATCAATGTCGAGGTGACGCGTGGCTGGGTCATGTGACAGGTGTGTGTTAAACGCACGTTGTGCTGCTGTCCAGAGTGGTCACCACTTCACAGTCCCGCCTGCGGTGCGTGTGCCCCTCAGCCTTTCCAGCCTCAGTCTTAATCACTGACCACTGAGTTCTCATTGCATTTGGGTTTCTTTTTTTTTTTTTTCTTTTTTTTTCTTTTTTTGCTGGCCAACCATAGACTAGCATTTTCTTTGGAGAAACATCTGATTAAATCTTTTGCCTACTTTTCATTGGGCTGTTTTATTGTATTAAAATTTTGAGAGTTCATTATATATTCTGGATACAAATCCTTTATCAAGTATGTGGTTGGTTTGTATTTTCTCTTATTCTGCAACTTGTCCGTTCATTCTTTTTATTATTATTTATTTATTTGAGAGTTAGAGTTTCAGACAGTGAGAGGGAGACAGAGATAGGTCTTCCATCTTCTGACTCACTCCCCAAATGGCCACAGCAGTTGGAGCTTAGCCAGGAGCCAGGAGCCTCTTCCGGGTCTCCCACATGGATGCAGGGGCCCAAGGACTTGGCCATCTTCTGCTTTCCCAGGCCACAGCAGGGAGCTGGACTGGAAGAGGAGCAGCCGGGACTTGAACCAGCACCCATATGGGATGCTGGCGCTGCAGGCAGAGGCTTAGCCCACCACGCCACAGTGCTGGCCCCCATTCATTCTTTTAATGGTGTCTTTTGAAGAACAGAAGGTCTTAACTTCGATTCAGTCCAATTTGCCAATATTTTCTTTTATGGATTTTGCCTTTGGTGTCCATCTAACAAATCTTTGCCCAAACCAAGGTCACAAAGAATTTTTACTATGTTTTCTTCTAGAAGCTTTATAGTTTCAAGCTTTATGTAATCCATTTTTTATTTATTTTAGTGTATGGTACAAGCTGTGGTCAATTTCCTTTTTTTTTTTTCATATTCTGTTGTATGGCATCATTTAAAAAGATTGATGTATTTGAAAGAGTGGCAGACGGAGACAGAGATCCTTCAGCAGCTGGCCTAATTCCCAAAAGCCCAAGCCAGGTGGAAGCCAGGAGCCCGGAACTCCATCCAGGGCTCCCATGTAGGTGCCGACGCCCCAAGTCCGTGAGCCCTCACCTGCTGCCCCCCAGGGTGCGCATTAGCAGGAGTCCAGGCTGGGAGTGGAGAAGGAACTGTATCTTGGGCGGTGTGATATGGAATGCAGCCAGCCTGTGTCTCCCTCCCTCCCTCCCATCTTCATCAGTCCATTCGCTCCTGGACCAGCCTGGCCAGAGGGTCATCCGTTTGCATGGTCTGTTGCTGGAACCAGCCCTTGGTGTCACTGCTTCTCTCTGCTGTATTCCCTTGAGTCGTATTCCCTTGAGTCTGCCCGCCCCGTCCCTGCCTCCTGTGCGACTCACTGCAGGTTTACCTGGCTCTTCTGCCTTCTTAAGGGGGAACCTGAAGTCGGAGACCTGAGAGACCTCTCTCGCCCCGCGGAGGCATTTAGTGCCGTAAACCTTGCCTCTGGGGTGTGAGTGTGAGTGTGTGTGTGAATGTGTGTGTGAGTGTGTGTGTGTGTGTGTGTGGTGACACCTGTGCGTGTTGCGATAGTGCCAGGTGTGGGCTGAGTTAGATGGATTTCCGTCCTCATTCCGCATTGCCTTTCCCGCTTCCTTGCGCAGGTGCTGTTCCTGCACTGGCTGCTGATCACCTTCAAGGCTGAGCGCCGGGATTGTCGCTTTTCTGCGAAGATGCCCGAGCTCTGTTGCAGGACGCGGTTGAGAACCAGGAAACGCTTTGATCCTTTGGCGTCTGTTTTCAGGCCTGACCTGCCAGGATGGCAGCGGTCTGGTGAGCTCTGCCATGCAAGCTCTCTCCGAGCCCTCGGCCAAACGGCCCCTCAGTGACGAGCCTTCCACGACTGGTGGCAGAAAGCAGCCCTGTGCCCGGGGGGCCTTTGGGCGGCTCTGTTCCCGCCCTCAGCGGCCTCTCCCACACAGGTGCAGACAGAACTCTGCCGGGTAGTTGCAGGAGCCCCTGGACAGCACTCTGGAGTTCCGGCTTTCTGGGACTGTCTTCTCTCCGGTCCTCCTCCCACAGCCTCAGACTCCCCTGGGCTCCGCCGGAGCCCCCTTCCCCAGCAGGGTCTGCAAAGTCTCCCAAGACAGACAGGGTGACTGAAGGTTCCCCCCACTCGTCCCCATTTCTCAGGGTCACTCTGCTTGGTGAGTCTAATGCCCAGTGCCTGGAAGCCCACTGTCATGTACCTTGTCTGTAAAAAAAAATTCCCAACGGGGCGCTGAATTGGCTTCTCGTTACTACCTCTGAGCCTGAAGCCTTAGCATTCATTTTCTCTTCTCATAGCATCTTTTTTTTATACGATTTTATTTATTTATTTGAGAGGCAGAGTGACAGAGAGAGGGAGAGACAGAGAGAGAGGTCTTCCATCTGCTGGTTCACTCTCCAAATGGCTGCAATGGCTGGAGCTGCACTGATCCGAAGCCAGGAGCCAGGAGCTTCTTCTGGGTCTCCCACGCAGGTGCAGGGGCCCAAACACTTGGGCCATCTTTCACTGCTTTCCTAGGCCACAGCAGAGAGCTGGATTGGAAGAGGAGCAACCGGGACTAGAACCAGCACCCCTGTGGGCGCAGGCGGAGGATTAATCCAACGTGCCACAGCGCCAGCCCCTCTCAGAGCATCTTGTCCACATTTCTGGCTCTTTCCCCGTGACTGTCTTTTCATTTCTTAGCTCACGCTTCTCTGGGGCTTTCCTGCCTCCACTGAGATTTCCATATTAGGGATAATCACTCGGTGCTCTGAACTAAATTCCAAGTATTCCCCCCAGTGTGATGTTTGTCATCTTAGTTTATGCTTTTCATCATGCAAATGTGTTTCATCTGTGCAAAAATATTTTGCCTGATTGCTTCTAAATTATTAAATGTATTTCATAAAAGGCAAACAACGCAATTCAACACATTAGGTGGAAACCAAGTAATAGAGATAAACCCCTACTAAGCTTTGGTCGTGACTTTGACAGCCAATGCCCATGTGTGCTACAGAGAATAATGTCCAAGACGTATGCTTGCGTTGACGAATTGCATGCTCCCAGAGGGGACCCTTGCATTTGAACTCACAGGTTGTCCCTTGCTCTGCGTGTAGGGAAAGGGTCCGTGGGAAGAAATCCCAAGCTCAGGACCCCTGGGCAGTCAGATCACTCTTTATTTATTTAAAAATTATTTATTTGTTTGAGAGAGTTACAGGCAGAGAGAGGCAGTGACAGAGAAAGGTCTTCCATCCACTGGTTCACTCCCCAAACACCCCCAATGTCCAGAGCTGAGCCAATCCAAAGCCAGGAGCTTCTTCTGGGTCTCCCACGTGAGTGCAGGGGCCCAAGGACTTGGGCCATCTTCTGCTGCTTTCCCAGGCCACAGCAGGGAGCTGGATTGGAAGTGGAACAGTTGGGCTTCAAACTGGCGTCCATATGGGATGCCAGCACCTCAGGCCGGGGCTTTAACCCACTGCGCCACAGCACTGGCCCCCAAATATTCTGACTGATTGTTTTCAGTGATTTCTGACTCGAATTTCTCATCGTGCATCGCCTTCCTCGTTTCTTTGGGTTTCCTATCTGCAGTCTGTTGCATCTCATGGAGTTCCCTTAGTATCAGCATTTTGTATTCTTTGCCAGGCATTTTGTAGATTTCCTTCTACAAGGATGAATCTATAGAGAACTACAGTGTTCCTTTGGAGGTGTCATGGGTCCCTGCTCCTAAATGTTTCCTGTGTTGCGTTTAGTGTAATCGTTGTCTGTTCTTTGTGAATAGCTTTCGTTGGAGAAGACTTTTTATTAGACAGGAGGTGGGTGTCAGTTGAGTGGCTGCTTTGGCGCCAGAAGTGTGGCTTTGAGCCCAGAAGTGTGGCTTCCGTGGGAGCACAAGGGTGGAGCCAGGGCTGAGACCCCGAGCCACAGAGCCGCTGCCGGCCCCCACGGCCAACACCGAAGCGCTGGCCACAGCAATGCACAGGCCTCCAACAACACAGTCACACCCACCTAACCAGAGAGCCCAGACGGGCCACAGCCCGCCCCCGCCCTGTCACCCACCCATCCGCTGCGGACCAGCCCGAGGCCCACCCAGGAGCTGAGCCCGCACTGCTTGTCCCCTCTCCTTCAACAGGTGCGAATCCCTGGGAGGCTGGGACCTGCACCGTGGCTGCCTGACCCCTTGCTCCGTGCGTTGCCCGCCAGGGTCAGTCCTCGCCTTGCTGTGTGCTGGGTGACTGGGTCCAGTGTGGGGCTTCCATGGCAATCCCTCCAGCCACTTCTGGGGTGTTCTCTGGACAGGAGACAGGCTGCGGTTCCTGCTGGCACACAGGAGGGGACTCGGCAGTCACACCTGGGTGGCCGGCGTCCCTCCTCATCCTCAGTCTCTCTTCCTGTGACTTTGCCTACGGCCAGCCGTGCTCCAAAAATACTGAATGTAGAATCCCAGAAGTCAACAATGCATAGGTTTCAAATGACACGTATGACAGAACGCTTGGAACTGTTCTCTTGTTAATCACTTCCTGCAGCTGATTAATCAATTAACCTGTATCCTCTTAGGTGACTTCTTGGGGCGGGGGAGGGGGAGGCATGTAGGATAAAACAAGGCAAGTGGCGTGATGGCCCGTGGGAGAGGCTGCATCTGGCTGGGGTTGGAGCCAGCAGCCCCGGTGGGCATCACGGAGGAGGAGGAGGTGGGAGTGGAGCGGCACCCCAGCAGGGCCGGCAATCAGGAAGTCCCTCCCACGTTCCAAAGGGAAAGGCCAGCTCCTCTGCACCTGTGGGGGGCTCGGGAAGGCTCCGGGAAATGGGATTAAGAGATGTTTATCTCCCATGCAAAAGCCTCTGAAATCCAGCAGGAGCTGTCTTTGCATATTTTGACAAAAAGGCATGATTGCAATACTTGTCACGCCAAAACAGACTTTTAATTCCACTTTCCAGAAACTGTTTGGAGTGCCCTAGTGTGAGTGTGGCGCACAAGGCTGGAAACACTGGTGTTTCTCTCTCGGTGGAGAGCTTTCTGTCTTTCCCGGTGAACGGACTGCACCTCCGCACGGTAACAAGCCGCTGCCATCAAGCTGGGCGGCGCCTTCACCTGCTGAGCTCACTGGGGTCTGATCCCAGGGCAGAATCGGCAGCCACGCCCCCGCCTCACCTAACTCTGTCTCTGAGCCCCTTCAACAGGAGCCCGGCCCCGCCCACCCAGCCCTGAAGTAAGGACAAATCGGTGAGAAGGAATTTCCAAGAAATAGTTTATTCTGAACAAGGAACGCGGACTGACAGAGCCAGGAAGTGCGGTGCCTCCAGGGCCACTTCGCTCCCGCTCCCCCGGGGACGCAGCCTGGGGCCGTAGGAACGAGCCTGGCAGTTCCTGGCCGGGACAGCACAGAGCTGTGCAGACACATGCAGACCAACGCGCGGGTGACACAATCCACAAACAGCGGGGGCTTGACGGACGGGAACTACGACTGATTCTTTTTTTTAAAAAACAAAAATATAAAATGTCACAGAACATAGAAAGGTCTCGTAAGAAATCTCAGAGACAAAATTTATATTCATTAAATAAAAGTTAAAAAAAAAAAAAGAAAAGAAATCTCAGACAACACGGACAGCCCCGAGGATGTACTGAGCGGAAAACGGAAGGAGGGTGGAGCAAACGGAAGCACACTGAACTCTAGCAGGACTCACACACATGTCAGAGACTCTGGGAAGGGGCGTCTGGCGGAACGGTGAGTCCCGCCGTCCCCCAGTGCAGTGCCTGGGCTCAGTGCCAGCTCCGGCTCCCAACACCAGCTTCCTGCTAATGCACACCTGACGGGCTGGGTCCCTGCCACCCATGTGGGAGACCTGCACTGAGTTTTTGGCTCCCGACTTCGGCCTTGGCCATTGAAGGCCAAGTTTGGAAAGGAAGCCAGTGAATGGGAGATCTTTCTGTTTGTCTGCTTCTGACAAAATAAATAAGTACAAAAGCCTTAAGAGAGAAAACTTAAGGGCCCTAAACACGAGTCTCACCCCACGAGAAAGTGACGATGGTGACACAACGGCCACCAGCGGGGTCAGCCAAGGAGCCAGGCATGCGACAGGCAGGACTGTCACTGAACTGCCCCCCGGAAGGTGAGGGTGAGGAGGCCACCCTCGGCGTGACCATGTGACCTGCCCAAGGTCCCTGGGCTGCAGATGTTAGGCGTGGGTTCTGCCCACAAGCCCGACACCAAGGCTAGAACCCACCTGCTGCTCCAGGCAAGCCGTTCCCTGAACAGGTGGTTTGCCTCCAACCCTTGTGTTGGAGGAGGGACTGGCCAGGATCATGCCCTTCCCCCACCTCCCCGGCCCGGGGGAGCCCCTGGAGGCCAGGGTCCTGCTGCAGGGCGGGGCTGGGGCAGGGGAGGGGGCTCAGCTGGTGTCTGTGGGGTAACCAGCAGTCAGCAGCCGACCCTCTGCTGAACGGGCACTTCTGTGCCATCCAGCACTGGTGGGATGGGTAGACCCCTGGGATGAAGGGTGGGGAGGGGTCTGGGAATGAAAGGGGAGTGTTTGCAGCACTGAGACTCAGGGAGCCAGGCTGGTCTGCAGGCTGAGTCTCCCAGGACGATCAGAAAGCGAAGGGCGCACACACCTCAGGTTCGCGCGGGATCTAGAAGGATTTCTGCAGGAGGCGCAAACACCTGAGACCTCTCTTTGGCCCCGGGGGCTGCATTTTTGGAAAGTGCCATCTAGTAAGCTAGGGCGGGCGGAGCTGCAGCTGTGATGGTCTGATACCAGGGTTGTGATTTGCAGCTGCAAACGATCTTAGAAACGCCAAGGTTTTGCCAGTCTGCCACCCAGGGTCTGCAAAGTCTCCCAAGTACAAGTCCCCACAAGAACCAAGTGGGGCGGAGAGCTGCCCAGCCCCTCGGCAGAAGACAACTGAGGCTCGGAGAGGGCGTGGCTTGTCCCGGCTCACACCGCAAATCGGCAGAGAGCTGCAACCAGAACCCAGGCTTCCCAGCTCCGACTCCGGGGTCTTTCTGCATCTGGTGCTTCCAGGGGCGAGGCAGGGGCCGTCAGGGCACAGAGAGGGGCTCTGGGGGTCAGGGCGGAGACGGTGCCATCCCGCGGGGCAGCTGCAGCCGGGGCTTAGCTGCTGCAGCTGCGGGGACAGGCGTGAGCCAGGATGTGGTTGTTGCAAGCGTCTGGGAGCTTGCCCTGGGCCTGGCTGCCCGTCCGGCCTTCTGTGTCCAGGAGCTGGCCGCCCTGCCCTTGCTGCCTCCTGAGCCTGCAGACAAAAGCACAGAGCAGACCCGTTAGTGCCGCGGTGCAGGGCTGTGGCGACAGGTGCCTGCAGCCCAAAGCTCCCGTTGCCAGGGCAGCCCGACCCCCGAAGGGTCCAGGGCCCTGTGCCTGGAGCCCAAGCCGGCTTGGGTGCACCTGGGTGAGTTACCTGACCACAGAGCCCCATCTGTAAAGTGGCCTATGACAGGAGATCGTATAGGTAACCTGTCCAAGTTCGTGCAGTCAGGAAAGTTGGTGAGCCCACGCATCATCCACCAGTGCGTAGCTCATCTTTCATTCAAGAATATGCGCATGGCTTCATTCATTCTAGGGGTCCTGCATCGTTCATTCAGTCTGTGTACTGCATCATTCATTCCGTCTGTGGGTACTGCCAGCCCCCACCCCTGGCAGCAGGGATCCTCTGGGACCTAAGCGGTTGTACTCTTTGCCCTCACGGAGCTCACGGTCCGAAGGGGGGAGGGGCACTAGTAAAGTAATCCCACAATACGCATCAAAGCCAAACCCTCCACCCCATTCCAGACTGGGGTAGAGGAGGGTTCTGAGGCCCCGCCCCTTCACGGCTGCACTGCCACGTGCATCATGGGAGCGCTGGTCTGGGTCCTGCTGCTCTCCCATCCGGCTCCCTGCGAGTGCACCTGAGGAGAGCACATGACGGCGCAAGTGCTGGGCGCCTGCTGCCCGTGTAGGGAATCGGATGGAGCTCCAGGCTTCTGGCTTCAGCCTGGCCCTGTCCTGGCTGTCTGCTGTGGCCACGTGAGGAGTGAAGGCGTGGGTGGAAGGTCTCCCTTTCTCTCTGTAGCTCTGCCTTTCAAATAAATAAATCTTAAAGAAAAGCCCCTTGGCTGTCAGTGCTTCCTCCTGTCGTCCTGTTGGTCACATTGCTCATCTTCTGTGCCCCCGGTTTCCTCCTGGACACCACAAAGCCCACAAAGGCAGACATTCCAATTCTCAGCCAAGTTATCAAGTTCATTGTCAGCTTTGTGGCCAGATATCCGAGGGATGGCAGCCTCCCGCACTCCACCAGGAGGCGTCAGGAGGAAGCGCACTTCAACAGGGAACCTCAACCCCCCAGAACGAAACGTGCCCTGAAATCGCTAAGGAGTCTGTCATCAATGCTGGAGGCATTTGGCAGGGCGAAGCACCACCTAGGCCAGCAGTCCAGCCGATTCCCGGGGAAGCCGTTCGGCTTACCAGCGGGCGCACCTGCAGCAGCCTCTCCCGGGCGAGGTGCCCTGTGGATTCAGGACAGGAGTTCCGGCAGAGTGAGATCAGCATGGCAGCCTCCTGGGGGCACTCCCTCCCCTTCCTTACGTCTCTGCCTCCTTAAAGGGAAAGACGAACAGCTTGGGGGCTGGCCTGCCAGTCGTGCAAGGGCCCTTAGGAAGAGCAGCCGCTCTGTGGTGTGGGCTTGTGCCCATTGTACAGATGGGCACACCGACAGTGAGGCTCAGCCTCCTGCCGTGGCTCTAACGAACATCTCCTGCTGAGGAGCCCCCCTCCTCCAGCTGTTTCTGCTGGCCCCTCCTGGGGGCTCAGGGCAGAAGGCTGCAGGGGTCCGGATGAATCCACACGGAGTGTCTGAGTCAGGACTCAGAGCGGCTCAAACAGAACCAATCAGCCGCAGGACACATGGGGAGGTCAGAGGGGGGTGCAACCAGGGGAGACCAGGGCGTCGTCTTGCAACCATGGAGCAGGCAAGGGAACCCCTCCTCCCACCCTGGGCAAGGGCCACCGCGAGCCAGAGCCAGGTGGCGCCACAGCCGCCAGCACAGTGCTCGGCCTTGGGGGTGCGGGGAGGTGCACAGTCACTGTGTGTGGCCAAGCAAGGGACTGCACGGCCCAGCCTGTCCGCACCCTCGTTAGCAGGCGTATGCACAGGTGGGCAGGGTCCATCGCAACATCCCGAGGGAGAGAGGAAGGCAGCCGTTATTAGATGGATAGAGGGCAGCACGGCGGGACAAGAATCGGGCTGCCATTTGCAGAATCGGTGGGCTGGCGCACACAGGGAGCGTTTGCTCTTGCAGCCAAAGGAGTGGGGGCAGCTTCTTTTTTATTTCACATGCGCGTGTTAGGAAAATGAAGACAAAATAAGGTGTGAGGTAGCACTGAGGGGCGTGGCGCTCTGTGGGCTGCTGGCCTTGTCCGTAACGGACACCACAGCAAACAACGCCTGCGACACCACAGGGGCTGCCAGCGCTCAGCTGTGCCAACTCATTTGTCCTTCTTAAAATTTTTTTGAAAGACAGAGTTACAGAGAGAGAGAGAGAGAGAGAGAGAGAGAGGGAGAGAGAGGGAGAGAGAGGGAGAGACAGAATCTACCTGCTGGTTCACTCCCCAAATGGCCATAACCGCGGGGGCTGGGCCAGGCTGGAGCCAGGAGCCAGGAGCTTCCTCCGGGTCTCCCAGGTGGGTGCAGGGACCCAAGGACTTGGGCCATCTCCTGCTGCTTTCCCAGGCCACAGCAGAGAGCTGGATCGGAAGTGGAGCAGCTGGGATTTGAATTGGTGCCACATGGGATGTTGGCATTGCCGACGTAACCTGCGATACCACAGCGCCAGCGCCAATTCACTGTCTTTACAACCATTCCATGAACTTGGTTTGCTATCCCATTTTACAGATGAGAAGGCTGAGGCCCCGAATGCGGCCTAAGGCGGCAAAGCTGCTAAGATCAGGACTCAGAGCCAGGCCGCTTCCTGAATCCGTGCTTGGCCATTACGTATACAGGTGGAGCATACTTATCGCCAGATCCAAAATCCAAAGTGCTCTGAAATTCAAAACATTGAGAGCCACCCTGGTGCCACGTGGGAAATCCACACTAAGTGCTTCACCCATGACTATGAAAAGCATCGCACAGAATCACCTCCAGGTGGCGTGTGTGAGGGCACTCCCAGAGTCTGTGGGGAGCGGATCAAAACAGTTTATTTTGGGGACTGGCACTGTGGCACAGCGGGTTAAAGCCCAGGCCTGCGGCGCTGGCATCCCATGTGGGTGCTGGTTTGAGACCCAGCTACTCCTCTTCCGGTCCAGCTCTCTGCTGTGGCCTGGGAAAGCAGTGGAAGATGCCCCAAGTCCTTGGGCCCCTGCGCCCGTGTGGGAGACCCGGAAGAAGCTTATGGCTTTGGATCAGCGCAGCTCCGGCCGTCGCGGCCATCTGGGCAGTGAACCAGCAGGTGAAAGCTCTCTCTCTCCCCCTCTCTGTCTCTAGCCCTGTCTGTAACTCTGTCTTTCAAACAAATAAAATAAATCTTTAACAAAAAGTTTACAAAGTTTATTTTGGTGTGAAACATTTTGAAATCACACACAGCTCTTTCCCAACATGCATTTCCCACGACATTTTGGATGGCTCCTGTATAAAATGCAAATGAGTTTTGTGTTTAGACTTGGAGCTCATCCCCAAGATATCTTATTATGTGTATGCAAATATGAAAATATCTGAAATCCGAGGCACTTGTGGCCCCAAGCATTTTGGTTAGGGGATACTGCACTTGTTCTGCTTCTCTGTGGTTCAAAGCCAAAACTTAGAAAAAAAGAGAGTGAGAGATGGGATTCCTGGCCCGTTTTGGAAGGTCACTATGACTGATAGTCTGGCTGCGAATGAGAGTGGGCGTGGAAGGGAAGACGGCAGAGGTCGTCCTGTCTCAGTGCTGCCCCTCCCCCAGGGTCCAAACCCTGCTCCCCGCCCCCACGCCCCAGCCCACTCCTGCGCAGGCGCAGCTCGGGTCCTGAGCCACTGCTCCTCCACACAGAACTGAAACTCAGAAACCTGGGGACAGAGTGGTCTCTTTGCGCCGCCCCCCTGGCCTTCCGTCTCCTTCTTCCAGTTATTCAGACAATCCTGGGTCCTCGCTCCCGGGATACCCCTCCAGCCCTGGGGTGCTCCTCTTCCCGCTTCCCCGGCCCACTCTGCTGCACCTCCCTCTGCCCTCCGCCCTGCCTTCTCCAAGGGGCCGAAGTCCCTGGGCTGCCAGCTGGGTGCGGACAACGGGGAGCCTTGGCAGAGATCAGAAGGAGCAAGGGGCGCCCAGCGTGGGTGGCAGTGAATCCCGTGGCTTTCTCCGCGGGGTGTGGGCTAGGCAGGGAGTCCAAGAGCAAACACAGGAGCTGAGAGGCTCCCAGCAGCCTCTGGGCCTCAGCCCCGCAGGGCTAAAATCTCCACCCCTCCCACACCCACGCGGCACACCCACTTTGCCAGGACGCATCGGAGCTTCCTCCATCGCGCGGAAGAGGCAGCACACGGCCTGCATGGAGACGCCTCCCTGAGGTCACCACCCACAGGCACCGAACCCCGCCTGAACGCACCCAGCGTGAACCCCGCGTGCGCCACCTCTGATCTCTGTACGGAAACCCTGCTCCCGCCTGAATCCATCTCTTACACGGAGACAAGGACTTGGAATAAATCAGCTGGGCACCCCCACGTACCCCCAACTCGCACCCTGCACCTCGTCCTGGGCTGCTGGGAACACCACAAGGGCACTGCTCCAGGCCAGGCCGCCCCTCTGCAGGATCAGCCACGGCTGAGCTCCAAGTGGGGACACCCTGGCTTCAGGAAGCCGCAGGGGACCCCAGAGTCTCTGCGTGCCCTGCGCCCCTCCCCCCTCCCCCCACGTTAATTCTGTCAGTCAATTCTTTTGTGCCACCCCTCCCCCACCCCCAGCTCTCTGATCTGGGCCCTTTCCATCTCCCGGAGAGTTCTCTTCCTTAAGTCAACATCAATCTAACCCCGCTGCTCGGCTTCCTAAGCCCAGCACTGGCAGGAAGATGAACTCCTACCTCCCAAACTCACCAACAGACTCTGTTTCCCCTGCTGTCTCCTACCTGAAGCAAAACCAATCCCAGGGAGGCTGGCATGGGGGGTGGAGTCAGGCAGAGCCGGGCTGTGGTCAGCTCACCGTTCCCGCCCCTTCCCCCTCCTCTTTGCCAAGGACAGGAGCTCTGGCAAAACTGAAGGGAAGGCGGTGGTGGCTGCTCAGTAGGGGGCTGGCATTTGTTGAGTGCGTCCCCTGCGCCCACCCCTCAGTAGCACCCAAGATATTGCAGAAAACCCAGAACAGGGCAACTGTGGAGCTGGCCTTGCAAGCCAGGCACCGCCTGCTCTTTTTGTAACCTTAAGCAATTCTGTGATCTGTAACCGCTGACAAAATTGCTCTTGGGTCTCAAGTCAGGGGATGTGTTCGCCTTGCTGATACAATGTAACTTCTCCCCCTTCCCTGACCTAAATCTGCCCATCAACACTCATCCTGGTGAGCACCCCCTCCCCTGGCCTTAGGCGCCGACCCTCCCAAGTGTCTGAACCAATGAGGAACTGGGGGAAGGGATCCCCGTGGGATAGAAATGAAAGGAGCTGGATTTCTGAAGGCGGCGCCTGCTTCCACCTGCAGCCACTTGATGTCACATGTCTTCCCAAATGTTTAAGAGTAAGAACTCCGCAGGTATTTGCTGACAAACAAGAAGTCTTATGTCTTTGGGATCCTTTGTACGAATGCCCTTCACACTGATTCCCGCCATCTAAGGTCAGCTGGGTCAGCTGGTCAGGCGGATGTTTTTGGCAGGTGCGGAGTGCTGAGGGCATCAGAGGTGGCCACTGTGATCTGGAGTCCTGGCCTTGATTTCAAGATGCCGTGCCGTCCTGAGTCTCAGACTCCAGTCTGTAAAAGGTGGGCCATGATCCCGCCTTGCCCACCAGGGCCACAGTGAGCGAGCAGCAAGAGCAGGACCCGACTCACCCAGCCCCCAAGCCTGACGTACGTTTCACCGCTCGGACCTCGCTGGCTTGTTTCTGGTGGCTGCAGCCCACACTGGAGGGTTCCAGTCACATTACAAGGTCCTCCAGGGAAGTCACCTGGGCAGGTAACCGTCAAACTTTAAATACACACGCATATATTAAAATATATATTTACATATTTATTTGAAAGGCTGAGATACGTAGAGAGAAAGAGAGAGGTCTTCCATCCACTGGTTCACTCCCCAAATGGCTGCAATGGCCAGGGCTGGGCCAGGCTGAAGCCAGGAGCTTCCTCCGGGTCTCCCATGTGGGTGCAGGGCCCCAAGCACTTGGGCCGTCTTCTGCTGCTTTTCCCAGGCCATCAGCAGGAAGCTGGATGGGAAGCGGAGCCGCTGGGACTTGAAATGCTTAAAACCCCTATAGAATGCTGGCGGTGCAGGCTGTGGCTTTCCCTGCAACGCCACAATGCCGGCCCCTAAATATGTCTGGGGTGTTCAGCCTGCTGTGCCCTCTGTCTGCACTGCCCATCCCCCGCTGAGCATGGCTGTGGTTTGCTGCTGCGAGTCGTCCGAGCTCACGGGGTGCACCTTGGAGAAATACGGTCCAGTAAGGATGAAAGCAGGGGTTCCCAGCTGGGGGCGACTCCATCTGCCCGGAACACTGCGGGGTGGCCGGAGACATTCATGGTGTGCCTGGTGCCCGGTGCGTAGAGGCCAGGATCCCGCTAAACAGGCCGCCTTTGCCAGGAAGCCTTCACAACCAGGAATCGGAGAAGGCACAGGGAGCAAATGTCAATCATGCCAGGCTAGGGAGATCTGGGTTGAAGAACACAGCCTGCGGCCGTAACACCACACACACACGTTGGGTTTGATCACAAGTGATGCTGTTAGCAGGGTGGATGGTTCCCGCAGTTTACACTTCTAGGATCTGATAGTTTAGAGCCAAACGCACCTTGGATGTGACTTAGCCTCTTTAAGAGGCGGCAAGGAGAGGAACTCAGCTCCTCACTCTCGTTCCGCACCTCTGACGACTGCTACTGGAAACACCTCTTGGAAAAGTCATCCCTGCACAGAGCTTTGGCCAAAGACAGGAGGCTCAGCCCCACGGCACTTTTCTCAGACCGGAGGAGGCCTCGGCCGCCCAGGACTTCAGAGCCCAGCACAGCCCCTGGCCGCAGACGGCCCTCCTGGCCCCCAGGCTCTCGCCAGCCGAGAGCGCAAGCCGACAGCGAGCTGCATTCCCAGGACGCCAGGCGGTGCTGATTCTAGAGACCAAGCCCAGAGGGCTTAGATCCAGGGCACCCAGGTGTCCCACAGGGGCCTGTGCAGGGCTGCATCCCAGCAGGCTTTGCGCTGCCTCGTTCTTGTCCCCGTGGGAGGCCCGGTCCAGGACGGTGACGTTATCCGTCCGGGGGCTGAGGCAGCGCTTGTGCACGCCCCCTGACTCTTTCTGCTCATGCTTCTTCTGCCTGCTCTCTGTGTGGCAATGTGAGTCTGGCCCATGCAAGGGAGCTGTGCCGGGGAGGCGGGGCCCTCAGGGGTGCCCGTCAGCCACAAAGATGACGACCCTGGGGTGAGGCACAGAGCTGGGCGGACTGCAGTCCCGACGGGGAGTCCTTGTGACTCCACTCAGAACCAACGGCCAGGAGGCACCACGGGGACACACTGGTCCCCAGCAGACGGCATCTGGGACCACATGTCAGTCGTGCCAGGGCTGGATGGCATCACTGGAGGAGCAGGTGCGAGGCAGGCACGTCCGAGGCTGGCCCTGACAGAGCTCTCCCACCGAGCGACTTAAAGCAGCGCCCGCGATGCTCTCCGCTCTAGAGGTTGCAGTCCAAGGTCAGGACGTCGGCAGGGACCTGAGGGCTCTCCCGGCTTCTGGTGGGCTGCACGCTGTGGCTCACAGGTGCACTGCTCGGCCTCTGCTCCGTCTTCACAAGCTCCCCCCACCCCCACTGTGCTCGAGTCAATTCTCTGCTTAGCACACCAGTCCTGTTGAATTAAGGGCCAGCTCACTCCAGTGCGAGCCCATCTTTTTTTTTTTTTTTTTTTTTTTTTTTTTTTTTTTTTGAACAGGCAAAGTGGACAGTGAGAGAGAGAGACAGAAAAAAAGGTCATCCTTTGCCGTTGGTTCACCCTCCAATGGCTGCTGCGGCCGGCGCACCACGCTGATCCGATGGCAGGAGCCAGGTGCTTCTCCTGGTCTCCCATGCGGGTGCAGGGCCCAAGCACTTGGGCCATCCTCCACTGCACTCCCGGGCCACAGCAGAGAGCTGGCCTGGAAGAGGGGCAACCGGGACAGAATCCGGCGCCCCGACCGGGACTAGAACCCGGTGTGCCGGCGCCACAGGCGGAGGATTAGCCTAGTGAGCCGCGGCGCCGGCCGCGAGCCCATCTGAAGGGGGAGCAGAGGCGGGGAGCAGGAGCAGGCTTCAGAGCCCCCAGCACCACCTCCTGCCTCCCCGGAGCGAGGTGCATTGTGAACCCCAACCTCCGCTGCTCTCTACACTTTGCCAAATCCTGTACACTGTGCCAGGCTCACTTCAGATCCACGAACACGGACTTCACAGGGGGCCTCGCTTGGCCGGTGCTCCCTGTGCACATCCTAAGTGAGGGAGAGGCCGTCCGAGCAGCTGGGTCTCTGCTCACACAAGCCCTGAGTGACAGAAGGAGGGCCAGCGCCGTCTCGGGTTCCCTGACGAGGGAACCGCGTGGCGTTTCTGAGCCCCTCCCGGGGCACAGCAGAACTCGCAGTGGGAGGCCGCCTGCCCGCTCCGCATGGCTCACGGCGGCCAGCGGGCGTGCCTGCAGGTGCTCAGCGGTGCTAAGGGGGTGAGGGCCAGGGGGCCGGGCCTGCTGAGCCCCAGGCACTGCTGCTCTCTGAGAAGTTCCTGGGTCTGCGGGGCTGCAGGACAACGGCCAAGAGCTGGAACCACCAGGACCCCAGACTCGCCTTGCCCAGCGGTGACTCGTTATGCTCCCACAGCCTTCCTGTGCTGTGGCCAGGGCAGGGGGACCGAGGACGCCCGGGGCCCTGCAGCGAGGCTGCTGCCTGAGCCCCGGGCGAGTGCCTGGACTGACCTCAGAGCCGCAATCTCCCAGGTAAATGACCGGTTGTGGTCTCCATGGGCTCTGTGCCTCTGGCCCTCCCCCACCACGCCCCTCCTTCGTGCTCTGGGCATCGCATCATGGCTGCCACACTGGGCCCCTTCTCTGTGCCGGATTGCTGTGCCGTCCCCCCACTTAGCCAGGCATGGTGCTTCTGGGAGCCCTGAGCACCCGGCTGAGCCAGGAGCCCACCCTCAGACCCCCAGCCTGGGGCTGCCTTTTCCTATAGCTCCCTGCCCCATGCCTTGTCCCCTACAGGTGCTCATGGAAGGGCCAGCTGGCCACTGACCTCCTGCAGGGCAGCGGGCCTCTCTGCTGGGCCAACGCCTCACTCTGCATCCGTCACGTGGGGCTGCCCCTTTGACGCCCACTCTGACAAATCAACCACAGCAGATACACCCCCAGATACGAACCGAAGCTGGGACCGTGCCGGAGTCTCTCGCTTCCTTTGCTCCTGGATGGGCAGCCCCCGTGGGCCCCTTCAAGACGCTGCTTCCACCCAGCCTGTGCCGCCGAGGCTCCAGCCCCCCCAGCCCCCCACCCGTGTCACTGACACCATGGGAGCCATCTTCACGGGCTGCCCAGCCCCGCCGGCACGGTCAGCGGCCCTGCCACTCATAGTAAGGAGGTGCTTTCCATCTCCAGTGTTGCCCAGAGGCTCGCTGAGGTCAAGTTCCTGCCTTAGGGCACTCCGGAAGTGGCAGAGTCTCATTCCAGGGCCATCCCCTCCCCTACAGGAGCACCTGGAGACCCAGGGGGTGGACTGGTGTCTGACCACATGGCAGAGACAGGGTTAAAACCCAGATCTAACTCCCAGCTACGCCAGAGCCCTGGCTCTCCGTGCACGGACCCTCCCCTCCAGCCTTGGGGCCGGCTCCAGCTGGGGGCCAGGGACAGCGATTCCCCCAGGGAGACCTTGGGCACCGTGCAGGGGCTCTGCCGGGGTGCAAGGGGCGGGCTTACTTCTCTCTGTTGAAGATGATGAATTCCTTCCGCACCGTCTCCAAGCACTGCTGCAGGTGCCCGTTCTGCGAAAGGACACAGAGAGGAACTGAACGAGGCAGCACAGCCCAGGGCCTCGGGGCGAGGGGGCCACGCGGGGGAGCGGCAGCTTGATCTCCACGGGAAACGGACTGCACGCGAGGCTGCACGTGTGGGGAGCCGGGCAGCCAAACGCTGGTCTCAGCGTTCACCAGGCCAGAGTGGTGAGCAGTTGAAGAACAGCCTGGGAGGGGCTCATTCTCACTCTCTCTAGGAACAGGTGCAAGGACCCCTGGTACCACGATGCTCGCGACATTCGTCCTGGGGGGGCCCACGCACCCCACGTGGATGGCACGCCTGTGTTGGAGCACACCACCCCCACCCCTGTGTTCCCCATAAGCACATAGGGGCGTCCAGCTGGCTTCTGCAGTAGCCACAGCTGGCTTCGAGTCTCGGGCCACGGGACTTTTAGAAGCCATGAGGATGTTTTAATTCCTCTTAAAATGAACTTCAGCGTCAAAGGTCCGTGTCATTTCACAGTGATGTGGCTGCAGAAGGAAGACATTTAATGTATTTCTTTATCGAGAAGGGACCATTACGGGCTGACTTGCAACCTTCTGAATTATGCTGCCGTCCGGTGCCGTCGCATGGGCAGATGTGACCTTGCGTGGGAACAGGACCTCTGTGTGCCATCAAGGTAAGACGAGACCGTGGAGGACTAGGGTAGGCCCAACTCCACTGACTGCTGTCGGAGGAGGCCCCACGTGGAGATGGAGGCAGAGACTGGAGGATGCGGCTACAAGGTGAGGCACGCCAAGACTCTCCGCACCCACCAAAGGCTGGCAGAGGCAGGAGCACCCTCTGTGGATGCCTGGGCTCATGCCGTGGCCTCCAGAACTGTTGGGGAATAAATCCCGGTTGTTCCAAGCCGCTCAGTTTGGGATCCCTCACACGCAGCCTGGGAATGAACACAGAGGCTCGCGAAGGCAAAAGCATCCCAAGCCCAGGAGAGTCCCGGGCAGCCCCGGGGGCCTCGGGGCGCAGCCAGCCTGCACCGGAAACTGCTGGACTTCTGCAGTGGCCGCTTCCCTGTGGCTTAGAGCTGCCCCGCGCTCACGGAGATGGGGGTGTGAACGTCTACACAGCCCTCACAACTCTGGACCAGCGCCCATGGGCAGGGGCAGTGCTAGGAGGTCCCGCCAAGGGTCACGTGCAGTGCCCCCTTGTGTCTACACCGCTGCCTCACTCCGTCAGAGCCGGCTCACCAGGGGACAGCCGTCCTTCGTGCCGTCTTTGGACCTGTGCTTGGCCAGCCTCTTCTTCTTCTTGTGGAGCGGCTTTGACTCCAGGATCATTTCCTCAAGTTCAAACGTGGGGTCGCAGTTCAGCCTCCCTTTCTGCGGGGGAGCGGAGAAGAGCACTCGTGTGTCTATGTCCCCCCACCCCCACCGCCACCTCTCCCCTCCCTCCCTCGGTCCAGCCAGTAACCGTGACCCCCGCGGCACACGCCGGTCACACTTCCCTGCATCCTCACCGGGACCCCTCGCTTTAGCCCCGCCCCCGGGGCAGCCCCTTCCCTAACGTTCCCCTTGGAGGTTCAGTTTTGCTCCTTTTCGTTCACCAGTGAACTGTAAATCCCATTCGTCATCACTGCATTGTAAAATGCCCGTTGCATTGTGGGCTGGAGCCTCTGGCCCCATTCAGACACAGGGGTCGGTGGATTCCGTGGCCACCGCCCACTCACAGCACCACGGCCACAGGGCAGTTTTAATCCACTGTTCATAGGTGAGCCACGTAAACTCCCGGCCAGCAGCTTTCAAGGTCACAGAGCTTGGAGGTGGCCAAGAGTCACCCAGGATTCCTGTGGGGTCCAGGGGTCCCCAGGGGCCCTGTGCAAACCCCTCCAGGTCAAGGGCAGTGGCTCAGCCACAGGTGCCTGGGAAGGCGTCCATGCTGGTCTGGGTGCCAGCGTCTCTCTCCCGGAGGACTGCGTCCCTGCCCCTGCACGTCCCCCTCCAGCTCCAGCCCGAGCCCGTGACAACATGAGGCCGCTACTTCCACTTCCACACCCCAGCTGGCTGTAACCATGACCGTGGCTGTGAGCAGGCTTCCTGGCGTAGTGTGCACCTGCTCTGAGCCTCGCTTCCTGGGACCTCCCCTCTGATTTATCTGGCAGCCATACGGCCTCTGCCCTGACCTTGAGGCCCAGGTGCTCTGATGCCCCCACACGTGTGACCTTGGTGTCCCCTGGGCCTGCCAGGTTCCCTCCCTGCCCCAGGGCCCACCCCCTCACCATCCCTCGCCCCTCCCTCTTCCGAGCAGGGGTGCCTGGAGTATCTCACGTGCTCTCTACCTGGGTAGCACCCATCTCCCTCACCCACAGCCAGCTCTGGGAAGGGCTCTACTGCCTGACCCATGTAGCTCGGGACAGGAAGGAGACTCAGCAGCCCCAGAACCCACCACCAGAACAGATCCACACAGCTGCAGAACCGGGTCAAGTTCGGCCCGAATCTCAGGAAGAAGTGAACCCTCTGAGGTTCACGTGGCCACGGGCAGGAGAGGGGTTGCGAGCCAGCTGCGGGGGTCATGCCTGGCACCCAGGGACGAGGCTCACTCACGTTGGGCACAAAGCCGGGCATCAGCGCCTTTTCGAACACGGCGTCCCAGTTCACGTCGGCCAGGTAGGGGGCGCTCTGGATGGCACTGAGGCTGGAGAGGCGGCTCTCGGGGTCCCTGGTCAGGAGCTGTGGTTAGAGGGCACATGTGCTCCTGTTGGCCACGCAGCCCACAGAGGTCAGTGGGGAGTGGGATGGTGGGGGCCTCCCTGGGGACAGGGACCTGCCCTCCGGTTAAGCCCCGTCCATGTCCTGCCCCCTCTGTGTCAGTACTGTCTACACTCACCCCTGTACAGCTGGGAGGGTCGGAGGCCAGGCCGCCTTTGCCAGGCCACCCAGCAAGGCACTGCTGGGACACCGACCATGCTCTGCAAAGACTTCCGGTTAAAACCAGAAAGAATCAGCTGCCTTGGCCTTGGCCTTCCAGCCTGGTCCTAGGAGAATCAGATCCGCTCCCTGTGACCGGTCTCTGTGACCTCAAGGAGGTGCCTTCGGTGCGTTTCATGTTTGCATTTGGAAGGGGCCTGCGGCAGGGTGGACAGGCCGGGGGCCTGCTGGGACAGCCCCCTCCCCGTTCTCTGTGAGCTGCATCCCCCACCCCCGCCTCCAGGGAGGGCCCACAGCCCGCAGGGGAGCCTGGCTGACATCCCCACTCCCCCTGCCTGCAGCTGCAGGTGTCCTGTCTCCATCACCGAGTGCCCTGGCGGCCGGGGGCTGCCCTCACCTTCTTCAGCAGGGCCACCATCCCCTTGCACCACGTGGACGAGTAGTGGACGCGTTCCACCTTGAACATGTGCAGAATCTCATCGATGGGCGTGGCCGAGTGGATCTCAAAGGGCCGCTGCAGGGGGAGCACGGGCGGGGTCAGAGGGAGGGGGCATGGGGCCGGCACCGCCCACGCCACGTAGAGCTGGGTGACTACTACCTCAGGCTCCTCTTCCCTTCCCCAGAGCAGGTGTCCAGAACCCAGGTGACAGACAGGCACCAGGCACAGGGACCCTTTGGGCGGGTGCCGCTGCTGTGGCCACAGCAGGTGAGGTGACGCTCAGGTCACACAGCCCCTGAGTGTGGCAGCCGTGCCCGCTCTGCGACATCAACTTTCACTGTCTACTGGGCCCCCAGGGACACCTCCAGTCACAGATGCACCTGTCGGAGGGCCTCAGCCGCCATCTTCCCTGTCCTGGCTGAGCCGGCACCAGGAGCAGGCAGGGCTGACATGACCAATATCGGGTCTGGCTGGCGAGGGATGGGAGGCGCCGGGACCCTGTCACCTGCCTCCTCCATCCACAGCGAGGATGGCTGGGCTTCCTGACGGATTTCTCAGCATTGCCGCTGGAGGTCCCAGCTCCTCAGCGCTTCTCGAAGCTCAGGAAGGCCGACCATGAGAGCCTGAGCCCACCAACCCCACCGGCTGCACACTCAGCCACTCTTAGCGCTGCACTCTGGCCTCTAGGGGGAGCTCCAGAACCCTCCAGCTTCTCCGTCTACCCAGCCAGGGCAGGCAAAGAGGAAAAGACCACACAGCAGCGTAGGGTGGGTTTTCAGGGCCTGGGCCTGTCCAGGTGGAGGGCCCCCACCCCGCGCATGGCCCCACATTTGGGGTCTCTTGTGGTCCTCTGCCTTACTCCATGGCAGCCACTCAGCTGGGGATCTGTCCCCAGGTGACTTCTGGTCGTCCTAACGAGGTGGGGAGCTTCCTGCCTGGGCTCAGGGAGAAGCTGGGTGCAGGCCCCGCCCAGTCCTCCAGGGTTCCCTCAGGACAAAGCCTGCAAGGTCGTTATCATCCCTGTAGTGAGAACAGGGACGCCAGGGTCCCGAGAGGGAGGGGGCCTCAGCTTCCGAGGATACCGATGCCAGGAAAACACCCGCCGAGGTCAGCGTCCGCACAGCCTCTTCTGCGAGTTACTGGCCACCAGGGCTCCAGCAGCCACTTCCAGCTGCCGACTGTCAACGAAAGAAGCAGGAAGCTCCCGAACGCACCATGGTTAGAGGTCACTGAGCTCTGTATCTGGCGAGAATACAGGAGGAGGCATGGCCAAGCCGGGACTCAGGCGCAGGTGTGCTGCCAGGAGTGTCCTCAGAGGACAGCGCTGGCAACCACCTCTGCACATCCCACCAGGAGAGGGAGGGGGTTGGGCTTTCTGATGCTTGGGGCCCTCGGGGGCAGCCACAGGCCATTGGCACTGAAACCCCTGGTCCCAGCCACCAGCCTTGCCGACTCCTCCGGCCTGGCACTGCTTGAGCCATGACTCCGTGGCCCCCCACATCCCCACACGCCTTACCCAGCCCCGCAGCAGCTCGTAGGCTGTGACGCCCAGGGACCACCAGTCGACCGGGTACGAGTACCCAGGGCCTCCGTCCACGTACACCTGGAAAACCTCCGGGGCTGCCAGAGACAGGACAAAGAACATCAGTGGTGGCACAGTCCACGCTCACCACCCAGCTCTTAGGGACCGCAGAGCCCATGCCACGGGTGCCACCATGCCACAAGGTCCTGCCCCCAGCAGGCACCGCAGGACACAGCCCTGTGACACTGGGGCAGGGCCCTAAGTGTGCAGTGCAGGGGGTGTCTCCTCCATGGGATCGGGACAGGAGCCCGGTGGGGCTGGGTGTGATGGAGCAGGAGTCACGGCTGGCGGGTGGGGACCAGGAGGGAGCCGAGCCGCAGCTGGTGAGAACCGGGGTGTCAGTCCCTCTGCTTCCGGTACCACGTCAGGGCCAGGCATCCAACAACCAGGGTGCATGGAGCTTCCTGTGCCTGAGCCCATCGCAGGGAGGGTTTCACGCCACACGGGCGGGACCTAATCTGACGTACCCAGCGCAGACAAATCTACAGAGGCAGGAGACAGACAGGAGGGAGGGGGGCGGGGAGCGGCGGCTGCTTCAGGGACACGGGGGGTTCCTTTAGCGGCAAAACGACGGCGATTTGGAACTAGAGAGAGGTGGGGAACTGCACACGTTGCAAACGCGCTAAACGCCATCGGACAGGCTGGCTCTCTGTCATGTGAATTTCAATTCATTGAGAGAAAAAGCAGCCAAGGGCAGAGACCCCTGGGTGGCGCACTGCCCCTCTCCAAGGGGATGGGCGGGGCCTCAGGCCGCCTCCCTGGGCCAGGAGGGCACTGGTTTCCAGCAACATTTTGTGAAATGTTGGTTACTTTTAGCAGATTGCCTTACAGGACTAAACCCCATTTTACAGCTGTCAGAGCAGCCCCAATCTGTCCCAGGAAGCCCCGACACCTCGGGCGGAACACCATCTCCCACAGATTCCAGGACGGGGCAGGTGGCAGGAGGCGGGCAGGGAGCGTGGGCGGAGCCGCTCGCCCAGGGGCTGCTGGGCTGGCAGCTCACCGCGGTCTCACTCACCGGTGGCCAGACCGCAGCTGCTCCCGCTGCACCCTCGGATCCTGCCTGCCCCTTCAGAGCACCCGCCGGGGACAGAGGAGGTTCAGAGAGGGCCAGTGGCTGCAGAGCCACACGGCAGGAGGCACACAGCTTCTGAGATGTGCCTTTCCCGCCGGTGGAATCCCTGTCGGTACTGACGTCCCTTTTGGCACAAAAGCACACTCTGTGGCACGCTGGGGCACGGGGCCATCAGGAGTGTGAGCGACTGTCCCCTCAGGCTGCTCGTCCCACGCATGGCAAGCTGGGAAGCCGAGGGGCTGTCGGCGTGGCTGGGGCAGAGGTTAGCAAGTTACTATTTCCATCTCATACGGTGCCAGCGGGGATGACGGTGTACTCGTTGGCTTGTCCTGAGGATTAAGACAATAGTGCCACAGACTTGGCAGGATGCTGGCCCTGCTGAGTGTGCCACACACAGCAGGCGTGGACGGGAGCCTGGTTGTCCCTCCCACTGCCTCCTCGTCCCCCATCCTACTCAGTCCCCGCCACGTCCACCTAAGTCCAGAAACGTGCGGGCGACTGAACTCTTCTGCCTCAGCCGCACGGACTCAGAGGCCAAGGCCTGCGGGTTTATATTTTCAGCATCACTCCCTTTGCTCCTTCCTCTCCGCCCAGCATTCTATGCTGGTTCTCCTCGCAGGAGCTGGGCACTGAGCCCGCAGCTGAGCTGGGACCTGTAAGGCCCTGAGGTCCTCATTTCCTGTCCCACAGTCCCAGTGCTTGCCCCTCCCTCCTGTGACCTGGGCGTTCCCAAAGAGGCCACCTCCTGCCCCCGCGCATCCCCAGGCCTGGAGGGGGCCACAAGGCTCCCTCGGCACCAGATGCACCCGTGACAGCAGCGATGGCTGTGGGGCCGAGGCACTCCCCACATATCCCTGTCGTACCCGGACACCCCAGGTGTCGCAATCCTGATGTCACTGGGCTATGCGACTGCTTTGTGGGCCCAGAGTCATGCTCTCCCGGGTTAGAGCTGGGACAGGCACGAGCCACGCACCTGACAGCACCCCCACGTCCGGGCGGAAGAGCAGCGGCAGCCCTGAGCTACAGAGCGGTACTAGGGATTCTACGCACACCGGCCCTTCCATCCTCCCGGCCGCCGGTGACAGAAGGGCTGCGAGGACCTCCACGTTTCAGCGAGGACACTCGAGTGTGACGGCTGTGACGGGCCGGATGCTGGCTGCAGATGGAGCCGAGGTCACACCTGTGTTTGCAAAGGGGCTCCATGCGGCTGTCGTTAAGGATGGCAAGACAAAATCATCTTGGATTCAGGACAGGTCCTAGACCCCAGTACCGATGTCTTCACCAGAGAAAGCCCAGGGATCCGGGGTGCGGGCAGAGGCTAGGGCACCCGCAGCTGCCAGGAGCTGGCCGAGGCAGCGAGGACCCCGCCCGGCGGAATTCCTAGGAGCGCCATCCTGCTGATAGCGGGTCAGGGCTGCTGGGGGAGATGCGTTTCCTCTGTCTGAAGGGGCCTGGTTTCGGTCACTTGTTCCTCAGCCGCCAGAAACGAATCCAAGGTAAGGGACTCGTAAGGGGCACCCAGCTGGTGTGGCAGAGCTGGCACGGGCGTCTCTCAGTTTTAGGGTGTTGGAGCCTGCCCCCCCACACTGGGCACTGGCCAGGAGGGACCCTGCTGCCCGGGGCTCTGCAATCCAATATGCCCTCCTCCCCTCCCCTCCCAGGGGCAGTTTTCCAGCCCCAGGGAAATTACCCCGATCTGTTATTGAATGAACAATGAAAGGCTACCTAAGTGAGAGCTCAGTTCATTCAGGCACCAGCGCACCTGTTCCCCAGATGACCCAGGAGCTCTGTCGGAAGTCTTTGCATTACAGGTGCCGAGAAGCCGTGGGGAAGCAGAGATAAGCAGCAGGCCCTGCCTGTCTCTGGACCCTTGAGGGTAATTTATAGCTCTTTGGCACTTAGCAAGCCAGATGCACTTGGTATCACACGCTTACATATTAACTGGAGATAACGCGAAGCCCTTGCCTCAGTCTGATAATTCCTCTCTTTTGGGGGACGCCAATAGCATTCATAGCAAAGAAAACTGGTTTCATTAAGTGTAGAAGAAACTGCTCAACCATTGGCCATCAAACTTCTGCCACGGAGAGGCAGGAGGGGAAGCGTGATTGGCTGATGAGTAGATCGGGGCAAGAAGAAACAATGAGCCAGTACTGGAAAACGCGTTTACGTTAAATGCATCGGATGCAACTAGGACATTCAAGAGAAGAGGCCTGTGGAAGTTCTCATGGAGCACGATGCCCTCACGGGGAGAGAGAGACAGAACCGGTGCATTCTGCAGTACGCCAGTGAGCGAACCTGGGGATGAGCGCCTATGACCAAGCCTCTGTGCTGATGGAAAAGGGAGTTCAGGGGTGGCCGCTGTGGCGCTATGGGTCAGGCCTCCACCTGCAGCATCAGCAACCCATATGTTCGAGTCCCGGCTGCTCCTCTTCCCATCCAGCTCCCTGCTAATGCGCCCGGGGAAGCAGCGGGAGACGGCGCAGCTCAGGACCCCTGCACCCACGTGGGAGACCCGGAAGAAGCTCCCGGCTCCCGGCTTCAGCTTGATCCAGCCCTGGCCATTGCGGCCATTTGTGGAGGCAACAAATAAATGGAAATTCTCTCTCTCTGTTTCTCCCTCTCTCTCGCTCTCTGAAACTCTGCCTTTCAAATAAGTGAATGAATCTATTAAGAAAAAGTGAGTTTGTACTCACAGGTTGAGTAGCTTTTGTCCAAAATGCTTGGACAAGTACTGAAGTATTTTGGATTTTTCCATTCTTTGGAATATTTCCAGGCACATAATGAGGTATCTTGTTAATAAGGTATCTTGTTGACAAGATGACCTGAGTCTAATCATGAAAGTCATTTATGTTTCATATATGCCCAATGCACACAGCCTGAAGGTATTTTTTTAAAGATTTATTTATTTATTTGAAAGGCAGAGTTACAGAAAGGCAGAGGGAGAGAAAGACAGACAGACACACACACACACACGCACACACAGAGTGAGAGAGGTCTTCCATCCACTGGTTCACTCCCCAAATGGCCACCATGGCCAGAGCTGAGATGATCCAAAACCAGGAGCCAGGAGCTTCTTCCAGGTCTCCCACACGGGTGCAGGGGCCCCAGCACTTGGGCCATCTTCCACTGCTTTCCCAGGCCATAGCAGAGAGCTGGATCAGAAGTGGAGCAGCCAGGACTCGAACCGGCGCCCATATGGGATGCCAGCACTGCAGGTGGCGGCTTTACCTGCTACACCACAGCACCAGCCCCAGGAGTATATTCTTGTAAGATTCTTGTATTATATTTATGTCAAGGTAGATCCTAACTAGTTGATTACAAATATCATAAATCTAGGGCAATCTGTAAACTTGATTTTTCAAGAGAGGTGCGTACACTCAGCTCACAGAGAACTCAGAGTGGAATTGTAACTAAAGATCAACTAATCAAAATGAGGCAGAAAAGGGGAGAGAGATCCAGTGAAATAAATATTAAAAAGAAGATGAAGGATCGAATCCTATCAACAGCTACATTAAATGTAAATGGTCTAAATATCAAAGTACAGACTGTTGTCCTAGATGAACAAAGACTGGAAAAGAAACGTGCTTTAAGTATAAAGACACAGAAACAGAATAAAAGGTAAGGATGGCAAATCCGCTAGCAGGGGCCTCAGACGGCCTCACAGAGCAAGTGGCCGGCATCTCTCGGCTCGGTCTCATCACGGTCACCTCCCACCAGCCCTGTGGGCGTGCCTAGGTCATGAAGGGCGGGAAAATCCTCCAATAGGGATGTTGTTCTGCCTTGCTCCTTGTGGAACATCTGCCAACACATCCCTGATGCTCCAGGCAGACAGCAGCCAGAGGAAGGCTGCGGCGTTGGGCGTGACGTCAGACAAGGCAGACAAGCAGGGAACGAGGACAGGATGTAACCGTAAATGGGAGAGTTTACCGCTCCTACGTGTAAACACACCTTACAGCACAGAAT